ACATATCAATTCTATTATGCCACGGTAACATCATATGTGAGAAGTCTTGTTCAACTACATGTAGGTGACCGAGTACAGTAAAAAATATATATATATAATCTGTACTATGTTGATAATTAAGATCAATATAAAATTTACTAATAACGCTCAACCTTCTACACTTACATTTCGAATCCATATACTAAATAAAATAAATAAAACCTTTTGTACATTGTTGCCTTCATATAGATAGGTTCTTATGGTATAGTTAACTTATATAAAAACTGGTTTAACAATTAGTTAAAAAGCTCGTCCTACATAGAATATCATAAGGGTTCGATCGAGACATATTATCATAATACAACGTAATTGTACCAGTCATTCAATAACCTTCTCCAATTAAGCGATTAACCAAACATCTGTTTTCAATCAACATTGAAAAAACGTTTATCGAGCAACGAGTTGGGCGCATCTCTACATCTGCAGGACTGCCTTTCTGCGCAGTGCGGGAGATGGAACCGCTCTATCCTACCGCAGTGTACTATAAGTCTGTAAGTACATATTTTAATTTAAACGCCTCGTAGTTGAACATGTCTACATTATGGTCGACTAGGGTAGACGCTTTTCGTTTTAAACTTGTGTGCCAAAGTACTAGCTAAATAGAATTTCATTTAGACGTGTTACATATCGTTTAGAAAGTCTTCAAAAACAGCGTTTTGAACTTAGAATTTGACAAAGCGTGCCATACATAACCAAGCAAAATCAGTTATACATCATGTTAGATTTAAATTGCTTTTTTAAAGTGATACAAAATCCCATTTATCCGGTTAAGTTATTGGTAAAACGTTTAAACAGCTTATTTTAAACACCCAAAAAAGTAATCAACTTTACCTAAATACATCTAATGCAGATTTCAAAAACTACTCGGCAATGAAACCCACATCTCAAGCACTTGTAAAAATAATTTATTGATTTACCAACTCGGATGGTTTATCCATATTAAACAATAGGGGTGTAAGGTTTCCACATAGAAAACAACAGTATCGTTAGATGATCCTCTCGAATAAAACCCTTCAGAGAAACCACGAAAGCAATACTAGAGTGCCCTTCGAAAACAATTTAGAGTACTTCTCAAAGTGAAATCCTTCATTTCCCCTCCGCTCCTAAGCCATATATCTGGCGCGTGACGTATACGTGATACCAACTAAGTTTCGTTTGACCCCGTCTGCCCCCTTCTCTGGGGAGACGCAGTCTGGGGGCGCTAGGCTACGAGACTCATAGACTAGTCGCCGTAAACAATTGGAGTTCCATGAAATTTCCTTCCGACGTGAAGAAGTATTTTAAGTTAAGGATTTTAGATCGAGGAGATGATTCGGTGGGACAGCAGACGATGGGCATAGGCAATCATTCCGGAGAAGGAGGATGTAACGAAACCAGCCTACGTAATGCATATTTTGATGATATGAACACACACTCTCGCTGCAGTAGTGCCAAGTTATGACATTCTCCAACCCAGTATATTCGGTCACTCGACTCGAGGGTAAAGGGAAAACCCTTCCAGAGGGTTTTGTGAAGCAAGCGTGCTGCACGCAAATAAAACAACACAAAACACATTAGGGTCGATGACACTTCACTTCAAAACATGTGCGAGTGTGATGATGTATTTTGCGAAGTTTGAAGAACACTTCGTGTAGTTTTTAGAATAATTCTACATGGAATAATTGCGTCTGTTTTTAATTGACTTCTTATTGGAAAGTGTTATTTTGACAGACGTTTAATAAAATAAATTATACAGCAAAGAAATTCTTATTCGTCAAAACTCTATTTGACTTTTAAAAGTTTATTACCAGATTCATGTTTAGAAAAGTTGAATGAGCCGAGATGTTTACGCAGTGTTACCAGTTAAAGGTTAAAATTACACATATCCGCTCGGGATGGCGAACCGTGTCTCGTAAATTATGTTTTAATGTTAATAAATCTACGCACATTTAATATTAAAACACGAAAACGATTTTAGTTACATTTGTTTTCGTGGTCTTCTTATGGACGAAGAGTATAATTAAGAAAATGTATTTTCTTACAAATAACTAAAATAAAATAAGTCTAGTAATAGACTAAGCATGATGTAATTATTTCTCAACAGTGCGCAAAATTTAAAAAAAAACATTTTTAACTGTCCCCACTTCTTCTTTTTCACGCAAAAGCTACTAAATTATAATTAAATAAATTTAAGAGATGTAGCATATATCTGAATAATACTTAGTGTAGAATTTGAAGGCACAAAATTACATTTGAAGTGTATTAATCGCAAGTGCGTTCGCGTGGGTCGTTCGAAATAGAAATGACTATCTGTGGGACTTGTATCGCTCTCAATTGTTCAACGGACGATAAACTCAGCCTCTGATAACAGATATCGAACGATCGGCCAATCGCGTTTGTTGACAAACGACCGACAAGAATTTTCCTTTTATACATTCATACAAATGATTAAAAGTGCTCACATCGAACGAGAATAACTACCCTACCTCACCGCTACTGCCTGAGATCTCTCAAACACTTTCTTTGTTTATTATACTGTGTTATAAGCAAATTTACCTTCGCAACCGTTTGCTTACGTATCAAATGATTCCGGGTATCACCTAAATAGATGTTATTCGAAACCCCGCTCATTGTCATTTAATCGGCGCAATCAGCAATTTACTAATAATATCAGCCTCAAACGTACATCGCAAAGACTAGAAAGACTTACTACTTGATTTGGTTATGGGAATTACTTCGTTAATAGCGCTATTTAAGTAAAGCGCTTCACAGTTAAATTTTGCCAGGACAAAAACTATTCCGTGCTATACAGGTGTAGGATTCATGCTTCCCATTTCTATTAAAAATTTCGGAATAAAATATTTTCGACTTCAAAATAATGGACTAATCCATACAATTGCCAACATTGCGAGCTCAACGAGACTAAACATCTGATTAAGTTCTGCGCAAGTACCAGGGCGGCAGAGCATCTGCGGAGGTTAAACGCGGCGCATATTCGCGTGGGCCGTCACCCACCCTTCCCCCCACCGGCACGCCGGGGTCGACGACCGCCGGGGCCGATTCGGCCGACGGCGCGCCTCACCTTGACATTCATCTCGGGCACGCTTTGACCAACGCTCGAATTAACCCTTCAAATCAAAACGCCGCCATCGTACCACGGTGTAGCGACAACTCCCATTCAGTTATAGCATCCTAGTTCTTGAACCGCGTTAATGATGTAACGGTAATTAGTAATTACTGGTGATTAAAAATAATTGGTAATGGGTATTCGTATTATAGGAGCGTCCTATAACTTCGTACTTCTTTATTCGGTGTAAGGTACGAAATACATACGTAATGTATTTCTCCACAAGGCCGGTTCAAGATACGCCTCGCACCGCTAAACCCAAAAACGTTATTACCCATTCAACGGCGCGTCAATAAACTCTTGAACACATTACACATTGGCAGCGATATACGAAAATGAACGAGGATTGTTGCCGTTAATGTAATGTGGTGCCATGGAAAACATCGTGAGGCACGGCCTATTGTTCTAACATGAGTCACGGTGAAGAGTTATAGCCTAACCGAGACATGGTCGAGGAAAGTGCTGATATATTACGTTGTAAACGAAAATTTTAACTCTAGCTTTTGCCAGTGCTAAAACTTAGCAAAAAATAGGCTTAAATTCTACGGCTCATTTTAAAATGACATGGTTTGCTAATTGGAAGGCAAATGCAGCAAAGGCCATTATAATATTATATTTTAATAAGTGTAAATGACGGGTACCTTGTACGACTGACTAAAATAGCATCTTTATTACACTAATACTGAAGTAGGTATATATTATGTACATAACAGGACAAAGACACACCACTGATAATTATATGAGTCAGCTGATGATAAGGGAAATATGTGAAGTAGTCAAAATATACAAAAGTATTCTTTTAAGTAATAAGTACATAATTAGCCACCAAGATGCTTACATTCCTGGAATAAATAATAGGTTTAGATTGTGAAAATACTATAATCTAGATTTCCTTGGAAAACAGGTTTAATCCAGGCTTCATTAAACTTGATATTCTTTTTAAAGATATAGACAAAAAGCATTCATAAGAAGAAATATAAGTTTCAAGTTGCATACAATCATCGATCAATTATTTTACAACCAAACTAAAATTAATTGGCCCATTGTAAGTACTGCATAATTTTAATGATCATATTGATATAACGATTATAATAAAGATGCAATTAATCAAATAGTTTTTTTTTAAATAGCAGTCTAATGCTTTTGAGTAATAATGAGATAATTTGTATGTTATGGACAACCACAGTGGACAATTAATAGTATTTTAAAATTAGTTTAATGGTTTTCCTTAAACACTATGCAGTGGATGTGGCACATACACAGAAGTTGAAATATATGTTTCCAAAATCAACTTGATAAGATAAGATCATCTGAAAAAGAAATAAGGTAGCCAAACATCTACTAATTACTTTTTTACTAAACCAAAGCATTTTACCTATAAAGTACTTCAAAAAATCTTTTGATGAAGTCAATTTTCAATAGGACTGTGCATGGCACTAAACAAGGTAACAGACGGTGATAAGCCTACCTAATATTGCATGGAACAATTGCAAATTTCTTGAATTAATAATATTGTGCCTTTGAAGGATTGATTCCAGTTTGGTATGTATATATACAATAAACCATATTAAAGTTACAATAGGTACTTAAAACCAAAAAAAGTTTGTTTGAACATGACATCATTTTAAACACAGTATGAATCACAACACACACCTGGAGTGATTATAGCCCTTGTTAGATAGTAGTTCTAAATGATGTACTTAAAGATAATTTTAATAGGGCTGCGTCTAATTACAATTGGTCATAATATGGTTCTGAAGATGATTAGGAACTTATTATTATTATAACTTTAAATTCTCCATAAGTGTACAAAGTACCAATATACATTGATGTCTGATTGATAAAATCTACTTACATAGATAAGGCCGGAATAGTATCTGTCCTTGATGTTGTGGAGTACGGACGCTTCGTTCAGGCAAGTCAACTCCGCCATATCCTCAACCTTGTCAAACTTGGGCGGATTCATTTTCTGGATATCATCGATCTGCACCAAGATCCGTTTGCCGGACTCCGCGATTTCCACTTCCACTTCATCTCCGCGTTCACCCTTGATCCCGGCAGCCACGAATCCCTGATTTTCATGCGGAACCCACACGAGTCGTTTCTGAGTCCATTCCGCCTGAGTCGCCGGGTCGTTAAAACTGTTACGATCCACCGAGAGGTACCGGAGCTCCGGGTCATTTCTGTCCATGTCCACCATCGCGCCAGATCACGCCGCGCGACCCTTACGAGAATCTGATACCGGCACTGTATACCACATTAAACGGTCGCCTCGACCGACACTGCACACGCGTTGTTAGAAACCAGCGTTTCCCGTGCGCCACTAACGCAACACACGCAAGAAATGACGATTGTGCAGACACGACTGACAGCAACGGTTCACGGGTAGGTGGGGTGAACCGGTCGACGCCCGAATTCACGTTTTGCCAAAATAAATCGATACATAAGTGGACAGACACGTCAGTTATTAATAATCTAATTAATATATTGACACTGTTTGAACTATTCTACCGAAATACTAGGTATGGGTCAATTAATTACGTGTAATAACAGAAAAGTAAAAATTTTAGGCACATACACCGTATTTCACCAAATCACACTTTTTCCACAGACTAAAATCGTTAATGAATAATTACTTTGCGGCCTCGCTAACGTCAACGGATAATTGTCAAAATTATTGCCATTTGTGGTGAATAATTCCAAAAGCCGATAAACTCGTTACAGGATTGGTTACTTTTCACGAATCATTCCTATTCATTTAGTTTTCACCAATAGGAAACCAATATGTTTAAATCGGGCATGTCGTTAAAGTACTATAATACCACAGACATTACAACAGTTAAAGTCAAGAAATTACGCAGAATAGATAATTGTTACAATTTATTCACTATAAGCACATTGAGAATCAATATACAATATTGTACGATAGGTTTTTTGTAATGTAAAACAATTTGATTAATTAACTATAATATAATTTGATGAAGTTTCAAGCTGACATCTACAAGTCACAGACTGCTTGCTGTCGAATGTCTTATGAAACTTCAAATTTTAAAATCATGTGCAAGCATCAACGCAGCCGGATCACGGATGTTTATAAGTTCATTATTCAAATAAGTAAATTTTACAGAAATAGGTATAATTATTACTTAAATTTTATTTACTAGTATGTATGAATCGTATGACGATCTCCAAATATAATAATTGTTTTAAAATGTCATTGTCTGAATATAAATAAGTATATTTACTGTAACTTTTATACTACAATAAATTAAAAAAAAACATAATATGAATTACAAATATGCAAACACTATTTTTAGCGGTACGATAAGTAATAGAGGAATTTCTTTAGCACTAAATCGTACACAGCACAATTAATACAAAATGAAACACAGCTCAGATTCTCGCTATTATTATCCTATTATATAAACCGTTTTGAATACTTAACGGCATTTGGCATTCAGGATATTAACGAAGCGGTCGCTTATGCAGCAACGATGGCGTACATAGTTGACTTAAGATCAGATTGCGTGACGAAGCCCACTAAATCTATGAAGCATGCCATGGTGAACTCTGCCCTAGGTGATGATGTCTTTGGAGAAGATCCTACTGTGAACATGCTTGAGAGCAAAGTGGCGACTTTGTTGGGAAAACAGGCTGCTTTATATGTCCCAAGTGGGACTATGTCCAATTTGCTTGCTGGTAAGGTTGTTATTTTGTTATATGTATATATATTGTTCTTATCATTAAACTTATTAAGAAACATAATTCTTTTACAAGTAAGTTAGCTGAAAACTGTAATTTAACTTAAACCATGCTTCAATTCTGGGTTGGTACTTAATGAAAGAAATTACTTATCCAATTTTGATACAACACAGTCTACATTGTTTGAAAGAATTTAAAGTTAAAGTAAAATATTACAAATCATGAAATTTTGGTAGGACAGGCATATCATTAATTATTATTTTTGCAGGTTTTAGAAGAAAAAAATAAATAAAAAAGTAACTATGTTATCAGAAATCCTATAGGTAGTTATTATTATGTGATGTAACACAATAACTATTGGCAATGTACTCAATTGTTATTGTTTCAAAGATAAGAATGAAACTTTAATGTACAGATAACTGGGGGTATAGGTATTTCATTATATTACTTAAATTTTATCAATATTACAACTACACAAGATGGATAAATATATTTTTGCTCTATTGCGTTGAGTTTAAGTACAATGGAATACTTAGCTTAACAGTCATACTTGAGCTGAAATAAAATATATATAGACTTAAGACTAGCATTACCTTGACCAGTATAACTTGTTTTAGTAATTAGATAAATAATAAAAGAACAATAGGCCATTAGCAATAAGTACATTTCAGGCAGTTAATAAAGTCTTTGCCCTAACTCACTTTGAAAAGCGAACAATACTCAAATCAAAACTCAAGCCGTTTACCCACTATTCCACCTAAGATAGTTGGAATCTATCTGTACCTAAAAAAAGTGCCTGTGTATATCTTTGTTGTCTATTTGTCACCAGGATAAACTTAAAGAACCGCAATATTTGGAGTAGAAATTCGTAACAAGTAGTAAATAGAATAACAACAAATATTAAAAACAAATTCTATTTTTGCTCTATGTTGATAATGACAACAGGGAAGCATTTGAAATATGCACAAATTCTCACTGTAATATAATAAGGTCTTTAGACTAAAAGCTAAATGTACGTGTTGATAGGCACCCTTATGGTCTATATTTTTTCAACATTGCTTTAAATGGGTACTTAATTTCAAATAATCACATTCCGTATTAAATACTGTCTGTAGTTTACGCGAGTAGTACATATTTAAATAAAACACTTTAACGGTTTAAAACGCGATATATTTTAGTTAAACTTTTTTGAAAACTAGTTTTAACGGGGAGACACTCCTTGACCACGGCTGCTGCAAAGCATCCGAAACGTCGGGCCGTAGTTAATAATAATTCTTAAAAAAGTTTAACTAAAATATTACGCGTTTTAAACCGTTAAAGTGTATATAGGATTTCTTTGAAGTGTAAAATTGTACTTTTCGTTCTAAAGTGAAATCTTCTCCTAGCTCTTCTAAATTATTTATAACTATTAGCTGCCAAGTTTTCCTAATATTAGAAAAATAAAATAAAATAAACATTCTGTATTGTCACAATTTATCCATGTTGGTTGAAGTGCTAAAGTCGTACAATAATTGTATTTATATTGCAAAGTATATGCAATCGAAAGACACGATTAGTGACGACTATGTTTTATATGATATCAGATAAAAAATTAATTGTCTAACAGGTTAGCTTTGCATGTCTAGACTTCTCGAGAACTGATCCAAGGTTATTTTATTTTTTAGTCATGGTACATTGCAAGAAGCGGGGCGCCGAAGCGATAGTGGGAAACATGTCGCACATTTATAAATACGAACAAGGTAATGGTACAGTAAGTAATCTTTTCACTTGATGGTATGTGCAATACCCCAGCCTATGGCATCTAAACAAGATGCGCGGTCGACCTATATTGGCTTTGGATATTCAGAAATCCACAGAGTGAAACCGAAACGTGATTATACTTAAATACTGTCTATAGTTTACGCGAGTAGTACACATTTAAATAAAACACTTTAACGGTTTAAAACGCGATATATTAGTTAAACTTATTTAAAAATGATTTTTTACTTCGGCCCGACGTTTCGGATGTCTCCCCGTGACCACGGCTGCTGCAAAGCATCCGAAACGTCGGGCCGAAGTAAAAAAATCATTTTTAAATAAGTTTAACTAATATATCGCGTTTTAAACCGTTAAAGTGTTTTATTTAAGTGATTATACTTCACGGCTTTTTCATTTGTGGACGGTGGTGCGTGACTCGGACGGAATTTCGATATTCCTACCATCCATTTATTAGTTAGATTGCCAGACGAAATCCACATGTTTTTAGAGAAATAATTAATTATGTAATTAGAAAAATGTTGAAACCAGGGATCGAACCTACGTCCCATTGGGTATAAGCCGCACTTCGACTCCAATGAGCTCGTAAAAAGATTTATGTGCAATAAGCAAATGTTTTGGTAGCCTTTTGAGTAGTTGCAGCATTAACTTCAATTTTATGACTTGGGTTATTTATAGGTATAGTTATTTATTTATATTTTTATAGTCTAAAAATGTTGATCTATAAGTGACCGAAGATTTTTACCACAATTTTTAACCAAATAATGGTTTAAATCCATTTTCATCTAAGTTATTATTTTCCTCCATATTTAAAATCATGTTTTTTGTTATTAGGCGACTCTGCCTCTAACAGCTTCATATTAGAAACTTATAGGTTACAGTATTAGTTCATTCTAAGTTATAAGCTGTCTGAAGTCCTTCTGAAAGTTAAAGGACTGTTTTTTGCTACAGGAGGCGCAGCCCATATAGCAGGCGTGCTTTTAGCCACGATACAAAATAAACCCGACGGGACCTTCGACTTGAAAGAGCTAGAGAAAAAATTCCGTGGCGAAGATATTCATGAGCCTGTTACATCACTGGTGGCGATTGAAAATACGCATAACAGTTGTGGTGGGAAAGTATGTAATGAGAAGCTGAAGGTTTTGTTAAACAGAATTCAATCTCTCTCTTCAACTGTAATGTGAGCATGTAAAACTAGTTATGTTCAGTTTCGACAAATAAAAAACTCTCTTAGCCCCTTTTTCGTCAAAATCATCTGGGCCCTATAGAAGTTTTTTTTTTAAATAATAGTCTACCTCCTAATTAATCACTAAGATTATAAGAAGCAATTTAGTGACAAAGGGGCAATAATATATACCTCTATACAAAGATACATAACAATAATCCTGCCTAGGTGTTGCCAGTGCAGTGGATAGACGAAGTCGCCGCGATATGCAACAAGCACTCCGTTCCTCTACACATGGACGGCGCAAGGCTGATGAACGCCAGCGTGGCGCTCAAAGAAAGCCCAGCGAAGCTGGTGCAAGGCTGCGACAGCATATCTATATGTTTCAGCAAGGGCCTGTCGGCGCCTGTGGGTTCGTGCCTGGTTGGATCATATCATTTCATTGAGCAGTAAGTATTTCTTATGTAGACTTTAAAAATAAGGACATAGTGGTAACAGTTGAGTGTCTACTGTTTACTTTTAGGGCTCGTCGCCTTCGGAAAATGTTGGGTGGCGGTATGAGGCAGGCGGGAGTAATCGCTGCAGCGGCTGTCGTCGCTTTGGACGAAGTGCTTCCGAAACTGGTCTTCGATCACAAACGTGCTCAGATACTTGCTAAAAGTAAGCTTCCAAGCAAGGAATTTCTAGACTTTCCTGGTAGTAAATGTGTTTAGTCTTTTTCATAAGTAAGCACCTAGTTGACTGCTTGAAGAAACGATTTTTAAATAAAACACTTTAACGGTTTAAAACGCGATATATTAGTTAACTAACGATTTTTGTTTTTGATTTAATATTACGAAAAGAAAAACTGCAATGATTAACATCGTTGTTTTTTTATGCTCTCGGTGTTAATATTTCAGAATGATATAATATTAAGTGAACATTGTTCTCGGTCAGTTATTCTTGATTATTTTCAGCAATCCAAGGCCTACTGCTGAAAACCTTCACAGTAGACGTCGAGGGAGTACACACGAATATAGTGATGGTGCAAATATCGGATCGCAGCTCGCTGCTCTCGGAGCAGCTAGTGCAGCGTCTTGAACAGGTTTCCTTGACGGAGACACAGGTATTTGTTTTAAAGGCTTTTATTTTTAGTTAGATATTTTTTGCTTTTACAAAGTATTTGATTTTAAAAAACTAAATGTTCTAGGGCGACTGTAAAACAGCAAATGACGAAGGAGTGATAGTCAAAGCAGTCAGCTTCAGTGACAAAATGATGAGGCTATGCCTCCACGCTGATATAACTGATGAAGAGCTCTGGATGGCCATTATGAAGATCACCTTTGTCTTTAAAGAGTTGGACGAAGCTTGTCCGGTTCAATAGGACCAAAATTAATTAGTCATTGACTCAACAATTATTTTTTTGAAGGCCAATAAATATGTATATATGTTTATATATTTGCTAGGACACATGAACTTTAAAAATATGGTCGGCAAAGGGAATTTGATCACAATAACTAGATAGACTCTGTAGAAGCAAAGTTGTTATTCAAAATCTCGGTTGCTCTGAATCAAGAATTTAAACAAAAATCAAGTTTATATTGCTGTAATTGCATTTTTAAAGAATCTATTATTTGCTAACCAATTCACTTGTTTCTACCAGTAAGTAATTATTATGTAATCCTATAAGTAAAAAAGCAACACAAAATGTCAAATTAAATTACTATACAAAGAACCTTCTTAGAAATATATTGAAGACCTTAAGGTAAATTGATATTTTTTTATATACACCATTGTTATTAGATATATAAAAACGAAACTTTCCAATACTTTGTTAATAGTTTTATGTTTATATTTGTTAAAATGTCAATAGCAGGAATATTATTGAAAAATAAAAATTTTCTTTTCTTGTTTATAGTTACATAAAAATTTGACGACACGGACAAGATTAGAACCACGATCCACAGCATTCCGTGCTGCGGTCTTACCCATTTGAACTTCCATATCTTTGTATTATTGTTTGTCCTTATTATTAAAAAAGATAGATTTTAAATGATATTAATTCTGGGACAATGAAATATGAGTATTATTTATGAAAATTATATGGTTGTTACTGATTTACAATATGTTATAATGTTACAGAAAGAAACACAAGAACTATATTTTATTACTTTATAATAAAAAATATTATAATTATAACTATGTTTACATATATTGCTTACACCTTATCAAAAAAATATAAATTGTAGTTTAAAATATGAGATAAGTATTTCAAAATTAAAATAATACAGGATTAAATTAAGATATTGAGATTTCCCTTAAACTTAATGAAAGCTTTAACACTCATCTCAGTGTAGATTCATTGGATAAGCAATGTTTACCTAGCAATAATAAAGTCAATAGGATTATTAGGAATGTAGGTATAACTCAGTTCTCTTTATCAAACTAATGTGTGAATATGTCATAAATCTTTTTGAATTAGTTAAATTCTGATGTATTTTGTGTTTTTTTACAGCTTAAAATAAACTGCAAAATATAACTTAGCCTTATGAAAACAAATTGAAATATTATTTTTTACTTAATAGTTATAATTTTATATTGCTAATGCTCCTTCATTTTGCTCAGTCCAAACTTTAATCAGCTCCTCTTTATTACCGTAACCGTGAGAAGCAATCACATTTCTATAGCCCTCTCTGCTGTATTTCTTCTTATAGAAATGGAATTTTGGACAATGCACTGGTTCTATGCCAACTTTCTTTGCAACAATACCTAAGTAAATGTCATCAAAGCGAAAATGCTTAACAAATAAACTCCCAGCATACATAAATCTCATAGATTTGTTAGTGAGCACAAAAGCTCCGGCTGTGACATATGGTGGCCAACTATCCCAAGGATACTCCTCTAAAGAGACCCTCCATTTACTAGAACGGAATCTTTGCGGAATAGATTTGAAGACATATCCGACATATAGCTGTCTGTCTCCTTCTGACGCACTATGAACATAATCAAGTAAGTTCTTCACAGAGATATACATATCGTCATCAGTAAAAAGATAGTAATCAGATGTAGAACAATGTTCATATAACCATCTGAGAGACATCATGGTCTTGATAGTATTATTAAAGTAGGTATCAAGGAAATCAATTTGAATAATATCTTTATATGTAGCCATTTCCTTTTCTATTTTATGCTGCGTGTCTGTTTGAAGTGAAGTACCTACACCCAGAAAAAATAATGTTTTGATCATCTTTCCAGGCACTATACCTTCCTTGCCAAATGTCTGACGGATTGCAGATCTTTGTTCAAAATGATTCATCGCTGATTTCACAACTATAAAAAGATCTAATCTATCCAGAGTGGAACATTTGCCTGAATTTGTTAAAAACCTATAAGGGTAATAGTTAATGGGTGTCACACTGGCTTTTTGGCCTCCTAGCACTTCTTTTACGATAGGCTTAATGTCTATATTCAGTGGGTAGTCAAAATTATTTTCAAAGCTCTTACTAAATAAATAATCACTCACACCAAAGAAATAATAAATGTATGTTAGTACGCATGAGCACACACATAACTGGTACACTCGCTTTCGTCTCATTTTGGTAGTTTTTATCCTGAAATAAAAAGCCAACTGTGAAAAATGTACACCAATGTAAGTAAATTATTATTCTAGAATATTATCCTTAAATGTATATCCTTTCCTTGTATTTGCCGACGTACATAACTTGAAAGTTTAAATCCTAGGAAAATTAATTAGCTATACAAATTGGGAAATACCGGTTGCCAATCTTATTTTCCCGGGTCTCCCCAGAAACAGGGCTATGTAATGTCTCTTTATTGATCGATGGTTATGGGATTGTTAAGATGATTATCAGAAGTTGGTTTTATAATAATAACATTAGGAGAGACAATTTAAAACTATGCTCATCACTTCCTGCTTGATCACTAAAAAAAATTATTCATTGGTTGGAAACACTATTACCATTCCTTATAAATCATTCATATGTAAAGAATATAATATGTACTTATAAGAAAACTTACCTATGGTAAAGAAAAACGAGCCACCCTACAAAGACGTGTCCACTGTGGAACTAATAGAGACTGGAGGCAAATAGTGATTGCGAATTACACTATGCAGACGAGACACTTCACTGTCAACATTTTCCAATTCACGTACCAGCTGAGTGAATTGCACTATGCCTGAAAACAAGTCCAGGTTAGACAAATGAAAGTAATTAATGGTAGCAAAGTTTCAAATGGTGTATGCTTATTTACCTTCCCTAGAACTAGTAAATCCATGACGTTTAATAGTTTCCATTTCAATTTGAACAACCATGGGGAAAACTAGTTGCATCATCTTCAACATCTCATTACCTGCTGCTTCCTTTGCCTCGTCCAATTTCGAAGCGTAATCAGGTGATTCTAAAGTATTTATGACTTCACTTAAGATATTTCTCATCTGTTCCACGGTAACGTTTTGAGGCGATGCCATAGTTTCATTAAATTCATGAAAGACGTGGCTCTATAAATGCTTCGATTTTAATTTGGCAAATTGTTTATTTAATCGCTAATGGTCAATAAAAAACATTGAAAGCTGTGCGTAGGTATCGTAAAGATAAATTAACACACAGCCACATTTGACATTAGCTTCATAGTGAGGTGACAACCAATAAAATAAATCGATTAGGATTTAAAACAATTCTAAATCGAATGGGCTGAAATGAATACACTTATTCCGAAAGAGTATATCTTATAGTTTATTAGGGTTTATTGTTTCAATTCACAATATAAACTGACAAAGCCCAACGTATGGACATCTCTTTCACTCGACTAAATTGATTGGAAATCGAATTGGTTTTCGATAAACTTGCCAAATGTGGAGGTAGGACCACTTGCCTGGTATCAATTTGCTTATTCTCACGATGGCTTAAGCTCGGCCAACGTGTATTGCAGGCATTACATACTTCTTTGGAATGTCGATTCTTAAAAAAGTATAAAATGTTTGGTTATAATAACAATGCGGTGATTATGAACATTTATATTGATCAACATTATCGTTATAATAAAATAAGTGACATCCAACTTCCCCTCGAAGGACATGGGTCGTCTCTGAGTTTGCTTCATTGATCGGGGATTGCACGACCAAAATAATTTAACAACCTGTTTCCTCGTGATTCAAAACCAGGACTCTCGTACCTAAAGTAATGCTAGGCAACATGCTTAACCATTTCGAGGCGGTCTAACAAACATGCAGAGTGCGGAGAAATATAATATATTAATTAGGAACTTCTCAATATTCATCTGTGGGAATACTATAAATTTAGTAGACTGAGTCTTTGGACCTGACACAGACTATGGTATAGGATTTGGATTAACATATAAATTTAATTTTGATATTTATTTTTTCATTTCAAACAGAAAATTCTTTATATTTACAAAAACACTATCATAGAATAGTGATAGAATATGCTACAGGGAACACTATCTAGTACGATAAGATATTAATTGGTCGCATTAAACTTTATAATGGATATTTTTATCAGATTTTAACACAATCAAACAAAGAGGAATTTATCAAAACGTTTCCTGTGTAAGTTTTTAAAACAATATGTAAAAAATATCATAACATTATGTTAATAACATAGTTTGTTTTGCTTGTTAATCTGCTCTGATTTTTAACTTGTAATTTAAAAAATTATGTTTAATTCTGTTACTGAATTTAAGGACTATGGATGAGGAAATAGAAGATATTGAGTTAAGACCTTCAAGTGTGCGCCGCAATGTAACAATTAGGAATAATGTGGCTCGACAAGTTGCTATTAACTTTATGCCATCCCGTCAAGCACTTAGTAAGTATGAATCATACATTTTGTTAATGAATATTTGTTCTATTTGCTAGAAGTCACTGACCATAATAGGTAACTTATTATGTGATTTATATTAGATTACCAAATATCTAGGGATGTTTTGGTGTCTTTCTGACAACTTGAAACAATGTTTTGTATAATATTGGAACTACTTATAAAAAACACTGTCACAGTAGATTAATTATTCAATAAGGTAAATATTACTTTTATCAAAACTTAATGTACTTAATATAAAGTTTCATAAGAATTTTATAATTTATACTTTATCACAGTACCAAAACTACAGATTTGTTTGTTAACTGAGTCACAATGTAATTGGAAAGAGAGGTCTAATTTAGATAACTAGGTCTAATTGAGGGAAAAGGTTGCCCTAATTAGTTATGTTCAACAGTTTCTGCGTGTAACACTTGCTGCAGTAAAGTTCTGAAGTTGTGTGTTCCTACTAGTGAAGAAAATGTGTTCTCAGAGTATGAGAAATAGCCAAAAAAGTGGTGATATATACAGTAAACAAAATAATGTTTATTTTCTTTTAAGAGCACAGAAATCTTGCGCTTTGGTTCAGCAGTTTGTGACATGAAGGTTTTTGATGTGGTAAAAATCTTTAACACATGCACATGTGTGTGTCTTTCTTCATTATAATATTGACAAATATATCAAAGTGTCACTAATGTTTATAAAACAGTATTCTCTTCTTTATTAGCCTGCAATTTCTATCTTTGCCTCTTTATACAGATACTCTTAGATTACGGAGAGTCAACAGTGAAAACAATGCACTCCTCGATGCTGTGGCTGCTGATGCACCAGATGCAGCAGACAAACAGGCGGACATTATTGTTAGGGAGATGGAACAACATACTCATCTCATGCAAGATGATCCTGTATCTGAAGAACTCAGAAGGTAAAAATGTATCTAGTATTATAAGAAGTAATTAGGCTATTATAAGTATGCGATAAAATAGCGATCCATAAAAGGAAATATGGTAACCCACAGTTCATATAATATGATTGATATTTTGTTTATACTCTTCTACAGCAAAAGATAATGTGTTTCAGGGAAGCCTTAAGGGACCTTCCACAAGGTCTGACAATGAAGAGGAATGTACGAGCGAAGTTATCTGCTTCTGTTAGTTTGCGATCAAAGCGGCGTCCACTATCTGTCTTTAAACGCTTCAAGTATAGGCTTAGTTTTGTTTGGAAACGGGTAAGCATCATTGTCTTGTGAAGTTCGGTTCTAATATGACCTTGGATAAGGTTGGGGGTTCAGACTTGTTGTAGGGATAAGTGACTTACATATGTATTTCATTGAGTCTGCTAGCACTTTTTTGTAATCATAGAGTTTGATACTCGTGTTTGCAGAAGTCTGAACTACTTGCTTATAAATAATATTGTCAAAAAGTCAAAGGTATCCGTATGCTTCATGCCTCACAGACGAAAACCAGAGAGACCGACATATTACAGTTAAATTTGTGAATTTTCCAGACACGCGAACGTTTCCGTGATTTCATCTTTTCAATCGAACTGTGGTACGAGCCAATACGGAATATCGAAGGACATCTGGGTTCGGCCGTGGGTTCCTACTTCCATTTGCTGCGATGGTTGTTCAGCCTGAACTTGCTGCTCAGCGGTCTGGTGGTCAGCTTCGTGGTTGTGCCACAAGCGCTGCACGATCAAGGGAATAGTACTTCGGGTGAAAAGGGATGGTTGGACTTCATTAGTGGCAAGGTACAACTTTATTATTTTTTAATTATTGAGTTTATAGCCTACGATTAAAATTATTGGAATCCATTTATTCAATTTAGATTGTAATAATAGTATGGTATAGTTACTTTGGATAGAGTTTCGCAATTAATTTGTGATAAACTATTGTTCCTAGAAAATAAATGTTATATTAATTATTACAGGGTGGTTTTGAAGACTCCCTCCTCTTCTACGGGCATTACCACGACGGGCTGATCAGCACCTCTCTACCGATTACATACAACATGCCATTTGCTTACTTTTTCACGATGTTCTGCTTATATTTAGTGTTTTTTATCGTTCTATGTTATAGGTGAGATTTTTTCAATTAATCGATTGTTATATAAGAATGTCATTGGATTCTAAATAGGCTAAAGCTGAGCACACCTCATAATAAAGAGCCTTATATTTGTATCTGCAGAACGTCGTACTCGTACCGGCGCAACTTTATAGAGACATCCGGTGGTTTATCAAATGTCTTCGCTAACAAAGTCTTCTGCGGGTGGGACTTCGGAATCGTGTCAGAACACGCGGCATCCCTTAACGCAGCCAGCCTTTATAACGAGTTTAAGGTGAGATGCACAGTCAAAGAGAACTCTTAAATTAAACTACTAAGTATGGAAAGCTTTTATTTTAAAGCTAAAATGGGATTAGTTTTGCAATAGCCGAGTAGAGTTTTGTTTTTAGATTCGTAGGTAGGTATAACTTGTTTTTTTGGTCTTCCAGGAGCTGCTCAGCGAACGGCACAAAGTAAAAGTGGAGACTTCTCTATGCATGAAGATATTCCAATACACTCTGAATGTGATCGTATGGGGCACAGTTCTTGGCAGCATCGCGGCCATACATTACGGATTTTGGACCTTACGAGCGCTCAGTACGCGAACAGCGCACTGGGATCTATTTGTTTCATTAATCCTCACTGCTGTGCTGGCCGTTTGCCCTTTGCTGTTTAACTTTATCGTTCGGTGAGAAAATAATTAGGATTTTAGACTTGTTGGTTGTAAAAACGTACTTTGTAAGGCACCGTTATTGTAAGGCAGACGGAGAAATAAAAAAGGCTTAATTTTTATTTCTCCGTCTGCCTTACAATTTTTTCGAAATAAATAATCTTCGTGAAGAACATCTAATAACAAAATGTTTATTATCCAGGTTAGAATTCTACAAGCCACGCACAGCGTTCTACGTGACTTTGGCCCGTACTTGGCTGCTCGATATTACGACACTTGGCTTGTTCTTCGTATATTGGGCGAAATCGACTACTGCGGTACGTTTAAATTCTTCTGAAGTGATGATAAAAGCATTAAAGTGTCTTAATGGAAAAAATATTATATTAAATATAATATTTTGTATTCATATCATTATTTTTCGGGCTGTTCGGCCGACGTAAGCGAGAAGAGGTTCTTGACGTTTCGCCATCACGAGCAGACGGCGTCATCGGGAGATGGGGTTAGCTTCTGGATTACTCGACGACAATTCTTCGAATAAATAATATTGTCGCTTAGGCCGGCCGAACGGCCCGAAAAACGATGATATCTTAAACAGTGGCCGTGAAAGCCTTACAATTTTTATTTTTATTTTTTAATAATTTAATATAACTTTTACCACGACCCACTTTTATTTGTATTTTTTTTTATATTTTGTACTATTAGAGTCTTGAATTATCATTTTTGTTTCATAGTGCTGGGAGACTGCTTTAGGCCAGGAAGTTTATCGTCTTGTTTTATTGGATTCGCTGGTTTCCTTATTCCTGTTGCCCGCTGTTGAGTTTCTAAGAATATTGATTTTTAAGTGAGTTCTTATCGTTTAGCTTTTTTATTTCATTGTACATTTTAAATTTTGTATGAAACATGGATTACATATGTATATAATTGAAATATTTACTACAGATTGAACTCAAAGGGTTCCGGACCAGAGTTCAGCATCGCGTACAACTCGCTAACGCTGATCTACAACCAGGCCTTGCTGTGGCTGGGCTTGCTGTTCTCGCCCTTGTTGGCTGTAGCAATAACGATCAAATTCCTACTTCTGTTCTACGTGAAGAGAGTCAGCGCCTTGCGAGCCTGTCGTCCTGCTAGAAAGGTATCAAAACCTTTCTTTTGTTTTTACTTAACTGATATTTGCATATCTTTCACTAATATTATGAAGCTGAAGAGTTTGTTTGTTGTTGGAATTACTCGTTCGAATTAAATAATATGTTTTTGTGTTAGTTAGAGAATTTATCTAGGAAGCCTTAATGGTTTATAACCATCACGCTGTGATCGATAGGAGCGAGAGATGTGGAACGACCACTACAGTAAAAGTTGAGGAACAAATTTTTACGCCCATTATGACTATTCTACGCGGACAAATTTGCTAGTGGCATCTTACTTATTAAGGTTATTATTTTATACTTTTTTTTTTTTGCACAGGTTTGGCGTGCTGCGCAAACGCAGACCGTGTTATACATGCTGGTTACCCTTTCTCTCTTTACTACTTTATTTGGTATCGGAGTTCTTTTCCTTGGGTGAGACGATAATGTTTTTTTTCTAATTTGATTTATAAGTGAAGTTGAGACGATAATAAAGGTGTTTGTTTCATGCAGTACAACGTCTAACGAGTGCGGCCCATTTCGACAGTACTCCCGTGTGATTGCTGTAGTAGGGGAGGGGGTGTTGAACCTTTCCCGACATCGAACCCTGGACGCCATAATCACATTTGTTACCAGACCTGGAGTGATAGGATTTCTCTTCGTCGCCCTCTGGTAAGAAATATCTAACTTTCCACGAGTATCCAGTAGCGGGTATCTACTATTTACGCCTCTAACATTTAAATAAAACACTTTAACCGTTTTAAACCTGATATATTAAATGAACTTATTTGGAAGTTATTTTAACTACGGCCCGACGTTTTGGATGCAGCCGGGATCACAGGAAGACAGTAGTTAAAATAATTTCCAAATAAGTTTAACTAATATATATTGCGTATTAAACCATTAAATGTTTAATTTGAATGTGTACTAGTTGTGTAAACTTCAGTATTTAACAGTTACGTATGTTCTTTACCTTATAGCGTGTCAGTGTATTATATGAGAGCTAAGTCCATAGCTCAGCGCTCTATGGTGACCCTACTACGTCAGATGCTGGTGCTGCAAGCTAAGGATAAGGACTTTCTGCTTACAGCCATCGCGAAGGTCTCCAACGGAGGTAATTCTATTAAAAACCTATTTTATTTTAAATAACTTTACGACACAGGCGGGGCTCGAACCAGCATCCACAGCGTTTCGCGCTGTTGCTCAAATAAAGCGAGCTACCTAGGTAGTGTCCTACGCGTCATTGTCGTTGTTTTCAATGTAATTTCAACTAAAATCGATTTTTCATTTATATAAAGCCTTTATGTAAAAAAATATGAAAGTTTTCAAAAGTATTTCTGTGTAAACAGTACCATTTCCGTGTATGTCCTTTTTATTTTTCTTTTTAAATAATTATTGTTCTACATAGTAGGTCTTCTTAGGTTCTGTTCGTCTTCTATAAATTGGATATTTTTTACCTAAATATATCTTTAATACTATCTGTAGTTAACGCGAGTAGTACACATTTAAATACGCAAAATATATTAGTTAAATGTATTTATTTCGCGTTTTAAACCGTCGAAGTGTTTTATTTAAATAAATATCTTCTGTACCATGGCCAAACATCCGTCAATCCAAATATGTTTTTTAACGGCGATTCATCCTCTTCAGAATGGCTGTACAGCCCCAAAGCTGAAGAGAACGCGGACAGTCACACGTGGCGTTACCTCCACGATGTGCGAAAGCCCTCCAATGCCGGCTACCACTTTGACGCCTCCCGGCTCAGCCACGGCTTCGAAAGGCCCGACAGGCCCCGGCAGGACAGGCCGCGGTCTGAGAGGCCCCAGTCGGACTACCGGACGGACGGCGACACGGATAGCTCCTTCAGTTGGCAAGGCTCCAGTAATTATTTGAACGATCTCGAGAATAGAAGAATGATTTGACAGGTGTTGTATTTCATACTGTACATTATCTGATCCGTCAAATGCAAGAACTGTACCGCTAAACACCAAAAACGGTGATATTTTTTATACCATCTGTATCTACTGTCAGAATACAGTACCATTCAGAAAGTTGAACACAGGCAGTTTTGCAATTCCAAGAGGCTATCGGTTAAAGGTGCCAAACTTCATTGTGAATTCCAAAATAGAATATATTTCAAAATAAAGTTTACAACACAATATTATATATTTATGAGAAAAAGAAACCTGTTAATACATTTTTTAACGATTTAAATCAGGTATTTGCTACTCCTATATATTACAATGAACGGCTTAAAAATAACTTTGCTCTACGTGTTGCTCAAGAGAAGGAATCTTTATACACAATATTGGAAATTAATTATGATTTATTAACTATTGGTGCCAGTTCAAAATAGCCTAGCTACTAGCATTTTACTTTCTTCCTAAGCATTTTATAATCTGTAGTTTTAGATATGTGTTTTTTTAGTCTAGACTGGACTAAAAAGGTGTGATATTTCTGTGGTGCCAAATATCTAAAAATACATTATCAGTATATATTTTGTATTTATACGGCGTGTCTTCGCATTTAAAGTATATTTTTAGTTTTATTGCGACTTTGTAAAACAACCCGTCAGTATTTGGTCTTCCAAAATTATTTTTGCATAATAATTATCTGTTGTACTAAGAATATACCAGTATTATTTTATCAATATATTTAAAGTGTATCGTATTTTTATCTGTGAATTTAAGTCAATTAAACCATGTAGTAGTATTTTTGTACTGTAATAAATTTTTATATTCATTTATATTGTTTTACTTACACACCCACTAATAAGTATGAAAATCTATATATTATTATAATCACACTTTTTTACAATAGCAACGAAATAACAGAAAAAAAAAAGTTTCTCATAGTTACAGAAACAGCGAATGTCCTCTCTGGTTACCATAGAAACGTCAAGTATTATCAAACAATTATAAGAACAATGTTTACTAAACTATAATTTATTAAAAAACAGTTGACAAGGTAAGTTATACGCAAATTTATAATTTTTATATGAATGTTAAACGTAAAACAGAGATTTTTGGTGGGTTATTATTGTACTTCATACTAAGAGATATTTTTTAAACCCATAATGACGATATTATTTTAATCTAATTGCGTTGTTATTTGTAAAATACTAGTTATTAATGTTAATAGTAATAATGTGAAATTGGTTCACAATATAATATGGTTTAATTACCTACTGTTTTATCTAATTATGTTTTATTAAAACAATTTGATATAGATAATATTGCATTCTATTGGGTCCGATTATTATTTTCTCTTAAAACACCTCCTAATGGGACTAATAAATGAACACGACGTCCTGAATCGGAACTTCCCAGTGGTAGGTAAATATCGTAAAGATTACGTAGAACAATTAAAAATACGTCATCTCTTAGTTAGATACGAATGGCGAGCGGAGATCGTAAGCGCACGCGCCCTCCGTTGACCGGAAAGAAATGTCCTTCGCGCTTCGTGCCTGCGCCGCCGCGCAAACAGCCCGGCTTGCCTTGGATGCCCCGCGCAGGCTACAGCAACGAACTAGACAAGGATAGCGAACTGCTCAGAGCAGCGAAGAACTATTACCCAGAAGGTAGCAACCAGTCAATTACCCTGACGGATTTTGTTAAATGATATTAAAGTACCCACCAAAAGTAATTTTTGTAGGCGAAAGCCAAGGTGGTTGCAGTGAGTTTCCGCCGCTGATGCTGCGAAAATCTTGGACCAGAGGCGTCCCGTACCGGGATAGCTACGATCATGCGAAACCGGTTGATTCTATTGGTAAGGTACAAGAATCAAATTTAAAAATCAAAATTAAAAAGTATGTTGATTTTCGTTGTAATTTCGTATCAAATCATTTACCGTCAAAACGAAAAAACGTGAAGGAAAGAGTAAGGTTAAGTCAGGTCAAAAGAAATCTTAAATATAGTACGTAGCGTTATTAAATATGACTGAAATGTTATTCAATTGTGTGGGACAGTACAGTGGGTATGTACGCGTTCACTTTTTTAGGTAATTGTTATACCAGTGCCTCAAAAACAATGAGAACAATAAATATGCCGCCAAAACGAAGGCCACCGCCTCAGCTGTATGGGCCAATAGGTCCCAATGGTGAACTGCAGTTTCCCCCCCTAAAACCGTGGGCCGAAAGAGAGAAGGAACGATTGGAAGCCTTACAGAAAGAAAAAGACAAAAATAAACTTCAGAAGGGTATATAGATTTTGTTTAAGTATCATGCTATATAGAGATATATAGACACTCTATGTATATCTATAACCTGAAATTTTATTTATTATATAGGATTAGTTTATTTGGAAGACCTGGTATCCGGGGCATACGACAGGCGAAAGGCTGCAGAAGCAGAAGCAAAGAGGAGAAGAATAGAAAAGAGAAGGAAGGAAAAAGAGGCTGCGGAGTTAGCTGCGCAGGAGGCTTTAAAAAAGTAATTTAAAGTAATCGCGTGTAGCCAAATGACATGAATATCTTAAATGTCTCTTTAGACTAAATGTTATGGATGAAATATTATTACTTCAGACATCTGGCTAAGTTATCGCTCGCCGATCCTCGAGATCCGGACGACCAGAAATTAGAGCTTATAAGAGTAACCGAAGAGGAACATTACAGATATATACATCCAAAGGATCTTGAGAGGATTCAATACTATTTGACGACGGTAAAAAATTTAGTTTAATGTATATTATTTTCTTTTCTAGTAAGACAAGAACTTGTCGCCCTTATTGTTCCCTTTCAGTCCCTAGTGGGAGATTTCATCCCGGAATTTCCAGAACACCTTTACAAACGAGCGAAACTGCGCGTTGACAAACAGACCGCGGCAATTAAGAAGCGGTTACTTATTCTCACTTACCAGGCTTGTGTGAGGCAGAGCGCTGCTGATATCAAAGAGTTTTTCGTCATGGCTATGAAAAGGTATACATTATTTATTTTGTTCAATAGTTATAATTGTGTCATTAGCACTGAAGCAGTATCAAGAATGTTATGCAAGATCTCAGATTTATAATTTTATAAAACGGTGTAGTACTGCGGCGGCTGGGATACTTTATGAACAAAAATCTTAAACATCTTCGAAACGGCTCAATCGATTTTTATCTTTATATTTAATTTAATATGCGTATTTAGTCGGTCCGAGAATCGGTTACAATCGATTTGTCAAACCTCTAAAAATAAAGGTTGTCCAGCCCTTCTTCTATTTAATACTTTGGTTTTTTTATTTTAAATGTGGCATTCAAAAATACATACAACCCTAACCTAAGTGTTCGCCCTTCTATCACCAACCCCTATTTTTCATAACTTACTAATTGTTCATCCCCCCAGACATCTGCCGATGTAAGCCAGTCTTACCAGATCCATAACCACTAGAAATATGTTATACGGCAAAACAACGTTTGCCGGGACATAACTTTGTAAATAAAGCTTCATATCGCTAAGTGTAAGTAAGCACACTTGTAGAAGTTAATTCAAAATTTGTGGCTAATACTTCTAGGTGTCTTCTGAGCTACATACTGGAGGACCCCGCCGAGAGGAAGCGTCTCCAAATTGCTTTCTTGCCAACGCTTTGGCCGGCGTTAACGGTGAGGGCGCCAGTGCCGTGGCACACCAGCGCCGTGAGGGCCAAGCAAGCCATGTCTTATCGCTACTACGAGGGGAACCCGATATTGATAGAGCTAAAGCGTATATGGCATGAAAAGTAAGGTTTTTCTTGCACTACGTTCTATGTATAGTTTTCTTCTTTCTTGCAAGACATATAGTATTTTTTTTAGATCAATTAAAGAGGAATCATTTGTTAAATCGATGAATATTTTCTTTCGTTTTCTCCATATTTCCTCCTGTGTCTTCGCTCGTATTAGTTACAGCTCGATGTTTTATAGCCTATAGCCGGTCTCGAATTTTTTTTTTACCAAAACAAATATAATTTTTCGATTAGAACCAGTCTTGTTTTGGAGATAAGCGCGTTCAAACAAACAAACTCTTTAGCTTTATATATTAGTAAAGATTAGTTCTTTTTACAGTATAGAACATCTTATTCTTATGATTTCTCAACTTCAGATATCAAACTATGTACATCTGCGACATGAACAAGATGCAAGAAGAAGTTCCCTTCCCACAGTACCCCTCTGACTTCACCGAACGACTGAACAAACTCTGCGCTGAGACTCGTGCGGAGTTGGTGGACAACTGGCTCATAGACGTCGCCGATACAATGGTTAAGATGCGCAAGCACTGGTCGGTCTACGTCGCCAAAAAAAAGAAGGCTTCCACTTTCCAAGTAGAGGAATTTTTCAAGTATGGCTATTGCGAACAACACGGTTTTTTGTTACTACAATTATTGTTGTTGTTGTTTCATTATTTTTCGTTTAGGTTGTATTATATTGTATGTATGTAATTATTATCAATGTTTTGCTTTTGTTTAACTAATTTTTCTTTACCTATCTATTATGCTTCCTGCATTTATACTTTATTTTGTTTAGTTATTCTTCTGTAATATTTTATGTGATATATCTTTCGTTTCCTATTGATATAATAATAAATAATGTGAGACTATCGTAGCCAAGTTTTTCGTGTGAACTTCCGCGCCATTGATTATTTTTAACCTAAAAAAGTTATGAGCACATGTGAAGTTGGTTATGTATTTGAATCAAATGAATGTTTAAAAAGTACCTATCTACCCTACCCGTTGATTTTGTCCATCAGATGCATACACGGACTCATGTCGAAGCAAGTGAGAGATCTAGTCGAACGAAGCGTGTTTCATTTTGCGGAATACTTCTCCTATTATTGGGTGAGCTTCTCCTTAAACATAAATATGTAAAGCCAAACTAATAATCTCTTTTAAAGCTACATTCACCGATATCAAAATAAAAATTATACACATCTCTAACTCCAAATTGTTCGAGCCTAGGAAATAATATACCATAATTATTATATTCTACCAATTGCTATAAAATCTATCGTAATACACTTCTTATTCATAACGTAAATTTTTAAAGAATGTATTAAATCATTCAATTCTTCTCAAATTCCTCTTTAAACAGGAAGGTAACGACTACGGTAAAGAATACCACGATTACACTTTCATCAAGAACCCACTCCTGCGCATCAAGGTGGTAGGTCAAGCTGGATCCACGCACCTGAACTTTGAACCCACTCTAGAGCAGATGCGCGTGCTCATCGTCAAATGGATCCACAGTATCATCAACGTGAATATTCAACTGCCAAGTGTGGATAACATTATGTATCCGGGTAAGAACCGCTGGACTTGTCCTGTCCTTTTGAATTCAAATATTTAATAAATAGATACATTCTATCTATACCCATAATTGTGTTCTAAAACCATTGTTATATATAACAGTACTAGACGTACAATTTACTACATTTGAAAGAAATATGTCAAGAAGAAACTATTTTGACTGTCAAATGCTTTTTTTTCACATGTATGGCATTATATAAAAAAAAATGAAAAATTCCAGACTGTTGGTAACCTTCAGATTACCGTTGGTTACCATTGGCACGAAACGCTGTGGAGGCCGGTTTAAATCCCGCCCGTGTCGTAAATATTTTTTAATTTAGTTAGATTTTTAATTTCTTTTGACTATTCTTATTTTGTGCTTAGATACCCTTGTATCTGTTATTACGACATACGATTACCCATCCGCAAAATGGCAATTTTGCAAAATATATTCAATAATTTCTTAAACATGTGCCGCAGGAAGCGGCCGGCCCCAACCCTACCTAATGGCGGTGTACCCGGACGAGCTGTACATGACCGAAGTGGTGAACAAGTGCACCCGGTACTTCGCGATCAACCGGCCCGGGCCAATGAGCTTCCTCAACCGATACGTAGAGTACAACTACCTGCTGGACGGAACCGCTCATGAGGACCTGCTCCGTTTCTTCGCTTTGGAACCGCCACCATATTTGAAGGTTTTTTTATGATAGAGGAGGACAGACAAGCTTTGGTTTCACTTGATAGTAGGTGAAATATTGTAAAAAATCTTAGTCTAAGTCAGTGGGACGCCGAAATAATCACTAATGTTTGATATTATAGATACTCTAACCATAGGTGTTAGCTTTATCTCTGTGGTATAATGCTTATATGCGTTGCCTATCACTGTGTTAGGCGTAGATGGCCCTGGGTTCAGGTCCCAAAATAACTTAGTAGTTTTGATTGGCCAGGTCATTAAAATCTGATCTAATACTTGGGTAAAGGTAAAATAGAATAAAAAATGTGGTCACTCCATTGTAAGAGGACAAACAAACTGTAGTAAAGATTTAAATATTTCAGGACTTCTCCGCGCGCATCAGGACGTATGAGATCCTTCGGGATGAGATTCTGTTTCTCCGTCGCGACGTACCCTTGAACATGGTGATGTTGGACTGCGGACCGATCAACGACGTCATTTGGGACGTAGTCAACGGCCTGAGGCAGTATATTGTGGACCATTTTATTGCGGTCAATCGGAAATGGAACAGAGCGTTAGTCTTGATAATATAATTATTAGAGTTAAACTTTTGCTTTCAAATAAAACACTTTAACGGTTTAAAACGCGTTAAATATGAGTTTAACTTTTTTGAAAATTATTTTAACTACGGCCCGTCGCAAAAAATACGTCGCGTTTTCCACCGTATTTTATTTAAATGTGTACTACTCGGGTAAACTACAGAAAATATTTAAACTTTTGCTGATTCCTTAAAATAATATCAAACATCTAGGATTTGCAATGTGTACGAGGAAATGGCCGCGCGAGCATCCGAGAGCCCAGAAACCACGGCCCAGCTTGTTGAGCTGTTGGCCTATATCCTGGAGTGCAGGGACTGTTCGCTCTTCGAGTTGCGGGAGAAGTCGCGCACCACAGCCGAGCACGTGCTCTTCCTCATGGAGCACGCCCATCTGCATTGTGAGTGTGAATTTATTTCATTTAAATAAAATATTTGTTGTGGCTTAAAATGTAAAATATATTTATTCATTTATTACTAATTTCGGTCCAGGAATTTGATATCATGAGGCTTCCCTCCCTCTTTTGAGTTGGAAGCGTAGCTGTTTTGACTTTTACAAACAGTATACCTTCCATGGCTGCACCCTTCAACCCTCCACTAAGTGTTTAATTTAAATGTGTATTCTCTCGTATCTTACTCGCGTAAACTACACAATGATTACTGATTTTTTTAAGTTTAGATTATAATGTAGCGCATGTACTTCTTATTCGAAAATGTACTGTGTATTGTTGAATTGGTGATAAATGTTCATTTGGATGTAGTTAAAAATGTAAGGAAATGTTTTTTTCTAACTCTCTTGCAGTTGAAGATATTAACCTCAACACGAGAGTATTCCTGTGGCCGCTAGACATGGAAGATTCGATAGACCTGACGCTTAAGACTCTAAACACCAAAAAGCTAATGGCAGAAGATAAGCTTCGAAGCCGTAAAGCGATTTTTGAGGAGAAGTTGAAGAAGCACGAAAAGGACTTGGAGCTGTTCAGGAGATTTGATCCTCCCTTGCTGAATTTAGATTTGTTGAGAGAAGTTGTCGGTAAAGTGGACGAGATTTATAATAATTTGATGGTTAGTGCTTCGTCTTTTCCTTTGTTTCCCTTTCTATCGAGTGAATTGTTATAACTAAAACTGTTCGGTTTTAGGTTTATGAAGTTCTTAAATATTTTCATTATTATTGTACCAATTAAAAAAGTCGAATAAATAACTATAAAGTTATAATATTAGGTTCATAAAACATATTAAAAAAAATAAATTTTACAAAAGAAGTATTGGCCCATGAGGGGATCGAACCCGCGACCTTCGCGTTATTAGCACGACGCTCTAACCAACTGAGCTAATGGGCCGATACGTAACACAATGAAATACAGAGTGGCTATCTTATTTCGGTAGAAATTGTAATAAATAATTCGCTTATCGTTGTTAAGTCTTCAAATCCTTTTATTGAAGTATTAATATATATTCTTGTCATTGCGACGCTAATATTATCAATGTAATAAAAGTAACATATGTCATTATATATTGTAAAAAGTTTTATTTTAATAAAATTAATTTTATTTTTATGTCTGGAGTTTACGCGAATACCTTTTATTAAAAACACTTTACCTGATTAAAGCGCGAAAAGATATAATATAATATTATATAATGCTTTACAGCTACCGAGTCGAAGTTTAGATAAATTGTTATTAAGTTACCTGTCGCGTTTTAAACCGTTAAAATACCAACTAAAATCCTGCTCTCTCACACACTTCTCCTTTCTATCCTCGACTATGCGGATGTCCCTTACATTGATGTAACGGAAGAGCGACTGGATAAGCTTGAGCGGCTTCAGAACGCGTGTATTCGCTTTATCTTACGCAAATATGATCACGTATCTGAATGTCGCAGGAAACTTAACTGGCTGCCTATTCGCTCCCATAGAAATCTTCATGTCCTTGTTCTCCTTTATCGGATTCTCTTCGATCCCAAATCACCTCCCTATTTAAAAGAAAACTTTATTTCATTAAGCTCTCATAACCCGAATCTTCGCTCTATCCATATTCTTTTATTATTTATTCCCGCGCATAAGACTTCCTTCTTCAATAATTCCTTCACCATTAGAGCGATTAAGCTATGGAACTCTCTCCCCATTGATATCAGAAAAGCTCAATCTCTCCGTACCTTTAAAACCTTAGTTTTCAAATTGTATCTTTCCATATCTTAATCCTTTTTTTTACCTCTTTTTCGTTTCTTTCTCCTGTCTTTTTCACGTCCTTCACTAGCACCACCTACCTATATTACTTTCTTGTTTTCCCTTCGCATTTGGTTGTCTGGAAGAGATCGCTGTTTGGCGATGATAATTGTTTATTTATAGGCTAGTTTTAAACTTACACTTATATTTCGGGTCTAAGCAATCCTTTTTTTTCCCACTTCATATAAAAACACTTTTTGACGTTCTAGGGCGATAAATATGAGGCCGAAGACATAATAAATGAGGAGACTCTTCTAGACCAGGAGGTGTCCGTTTACTTCAGCCTGCAGGTTATGCTGAACAGTGTGGATCCCTTCCATAAGTTGTGGCACACAGCATTTGACTTTTACGACGGCTATGAGAAGTGGTGAGTTCTTTGATCTTTTTAGCAGCTCGATGCGAAACTAGTTTGCGTTAAGCACAAGAGGACCTGGGTTCAAATCTCAGGTAATGAAATCAGTCGTTTCGGTCATTCCAGTAGAAAAGTCTAGTCAACTTATTGCCTCAAAATGAAATTCATCAGTAAAACGGACACAGAGATGTGTTCGCCCTATGCCTACATCTCGTTATACCACGGGGCGAATGCATCTATGTGTTCTGTTGCCTACCCGACCGAAACAGTTTATTGATGTCATATCTTTAATTTATTATAATTTAGGAAGGTAAAATCATCTGTTATTTACGTTTTTATGAAGGTACCACGGCCCGTTTCTTGGTTTGGACGCCGAACAAATCTCCGAAGATGTGGAAGCGTGGTGGAAGTTGCTCTACAAACTTGGCAAACAACTCTTCGAGTACCCAGGTGCTAAGCGCATTGCGGACATGGTGCGAAATAAGGTTGAGAAGTTCAAAGTGTTGCTGCCCGTGCTGTGTGCTATTTGTAATAAGGTGGGTGTCGACTCCTTGTTCCTAATATATACTATAATCATCTACACTAATATTTCTCAGGAACTACTGATTTGAATAGAAAAATTTTCGTCGTTTTGCTTAGGGATGTAAAATATTAAGCTGTGACCCATAGGAGCGAAGAAAAAAGGATTAATGTAAAAATTGTGCATCTTTGAGGGTTTTCCTTGCGTGCGCTGTAAAAACGGCTCAAGAACCCAAAAAATATGACAGATTTTTTTTGTTATATTTGTCATTTATAGTTATATTTTTTTGTCTAAACCTAATCTAACAACAATGTTGATTTACAGGGTATGCGCGACCGTCACTGGGCCAAGATCAGCGACCTGGTTGGTGTTGAAGTAATCCACGGACCCGAAGCGACCCTCGCTGACATGGTGGAGCAAGGAGTGCACGTATTCGGTTCCCAGCTTGAAGAGATCGAGCAGTACGCCTCGAAGGAGTACTCTCTAGAAAAGGCCCTACTAAAGATGAAGGAAGAATGGGTCGGTGTTAAGTTTGAAGTTGTGCCGTACAGGTGAGACAAGAAATAAAACTAAGAATGACGTAGTTTAGTAAATACGTTGAGCTTTACACAACGTATTTATGCCATGTATTTGTCGTTAGTTAGGTTTTTTATATTAAGGGGGGGGGACAAGCAAGGGGTTCACTTGATGAAAGGTGAAATACCCCAGCCATCCACAAGACTGAAACCGAAATGCGATTAAACTTCACGGCTTTTTCACCTATGAACGGTGGTCTATGTCCCGGATGGAATTTCGAATTTTTCTACGACCCATTTAGCATCAGACGAGTCCAACATGTTTCAGAAGAACAATAAAATTGTTAGGAAACTAGTTGGGTGGGAGGTGGAAGATTATCCCACGAATAGTAATTTAACAGCCATACATTGGTACCATAAGACCAAGGACTTAGGATAGAGCCAGATTAGATGTTCTGATCTTCTTTATCGCTATAGGGATACCGGCACATTTATTCTTACCGGACTGGATGATGTTCAGCAGCAGTTGGACGATCATATCTTAAAGTCTCAGACGATGCGCGGCTCACCGTATGTTAAGGCTTTCGAGACGGATATGATCGCTTGGGAGGAGAAGCTTATCAGCATGCAGGACATATTGGATCAGTGGTTACAGGTGAAAAACTTACATCAAATTATTTTTTTCGTCCCTTTGCTTCATCTTAAAGCTACACAGAGCGTACACCTAGATCTTGCTCAGAGACACCCCCAAGCATTTTGTCGGAAAGCTCCTCAACGCACATAATGGTTTTTGTGTTTCTTACGTTAAAGCAACCCAAACACTTTTTATATGGATTTATACCTGATTAAATGAGTCATTATTATTATTATAAATTATACCAGCTTTCTTTGTTTGTTTTTTTTTTTATATTAGTGTCAAGCGACGTGGATGTATCTCGAACCAATCTTCTCTTCTGAAGACATAATGCGGCAAATGCCTACCGAGGCACGTAACTTCCGCGACGTGGACAAAGAATGGCGCACCATTATGGCTGCCACCCAGAAGGAACCCATGGTCTTGCAGGCTACGGACTTTCCAGCTCTTCTCAAAAAATTGCGTTACAGCAATGCGTTACTTGATGATATTCAGAGGGGACTTAACGACTATTTGGAGAAGAAGAGACTATTCTTCCCCAGGTACATTTCATTTCTCTAATAAAATATTTATTTAAATACACTTAGACCACTTGAGAAATCAAAAGCGTAGAACCGACAAGAGGTTCAGGTTCAGTTTTAAATGAGTTTTAAAGAAACCCCTTCTCAGTATCTTATAAATACTTATGTCGATTACAGATTCTTCTTCTTGTCTAACGACGAGCTCTTGGAGATACTATCAGAGACTAAAGACCCGATGAGGGTACAGCCACATCTCAAAAAGTGCTTCGAGGGCATTTACACTCTGGAATTCAACGCGGCTGGTGAGATTACCGGCATGGCCTCCGCTGAGGGCGAGGTCGTCGGTTTATCCACTAGCATACAGCCCGCAGATGCTAAGGTAAGCGTGAAATTATAGATGCATGATCGACTTTACAATCAAACTTAAAGTAGTTAACTTTGTTGGGATAGATCATTTTTGAGGTATTTTTCACAAACGAGATTCCATATTTATATTTTTCAGACAACGTCTAACATTTTTCATCAAAATATATATTAATTAATAAACTAAAACGACTCGTCGATTATTAGCAATATATTGCTACCATTGGAGTAATGAGTCGGTCGATGCATATTAATAGTTAACTTTGACACAAGGAATTTCGATTCCAGGGCATGGTGGAACGTTGGCTACAGCAACTGGAGCAACAAATGATAGTGAGCCTCCGCGACGTGTCGTCAGAGGCGATAACGGCATACGCGACTACGGAGCGAACGGAGTGGGTACTGTGCTGGCCGGGACAAATTGTGCAGGCTGGATCCTGCGTCCAGTACACCACCGAGGTATACCTATATAATATGTATATTTAACATACTAACCGGGCAAACGTTTTGCTAGGTTAGCAAGCAAGGATTCAAATTGCATTTTAATTTATTTAGGGGTTGGCTTCTAAGAGAACCGATACGTTGCTGTTTGTATATTTTAATTCTAAATCATAATAAATGTTTATTACAATATTATCAAACGAGTTGCATTGCCTTAAGCACAAGTCTTTTTATGCTGAAATCCCTATAAACATAGTATTGTGTCTAACGTTAAATCTGTGGGAATAAATGGTTACCTATTTACCCATGATTCCAAATGATGAATGAAATGTGTGTATTTCCGTAAACAATATCATTCTTACGTTGTCCAATTTCTGTCTCTTAATAATCTAAATCATATTTTTATTCCTTGATCGTATTTATAACCAAAAATAACTAAAAATAACTATTTTATATATGTTTCAATTATTTTTATGTCGTTATATTTCAAGGCTATAGAAGCTATTAAGAATGCGAGCCTCCCCGAACTGATAGCCCACAGCACGGAGCAGATCACTGGCTTAGTGTACTTAGTTCAGGGAGAGCTGGACCCGGGAAACAGGATTACGGTGGAGGCGCTCATTGTATTGGATGTTCACGGTCAGTATTGGTTGTTAAGTGTTAAAGGATTCTTATTGCAAATTGTAAGACAATTTGTTGAAAATAATATTATACTAACACACTCTGCGTCTATTGCGTTTTGATGTCTGTAAGTGCGTAGGAGTGGGTCTATTAAATCAAAAGATATCTTAACAATAATTGCGGAAATCAGTGAATATTTTTACACGAAGTTTTATTTCATATCATCGTTGGATCTTAAAAAGTCGAAGGACTGTTATTTTAAAACACAGTTTCAAAATATTCAGAAATTTGAATATGCTCGGGTCTGCAGGTCGGTCAATCTTAGAGGAGATGGAACAGCATGGCGTGATGGAAATAACAGACTTCAACTGGATCTCCCAACTGCGATACTATTGGCGCGGAGACCGCATCATGTGTTCTATGATCACCACTGACGTGGAGTACGGGTTCGAATACCTGGGCAATACAGGTCGACTAGTAGCGACCCCACTTACGGATAGATGTTACAGGTTAGATTTTTAAAGGAAAATTCTTAATGTAGCTCATGGCTGAGCTTATGCAACTTAGAAAAAAATATCCGTTTTTAAATTTTGAAATAAAAAATAAAAACGTTAAAATATCCACGACATATAAAATTAAAATAAATTAATATACTCTTTTGGTTTGGGAGAAAATAGAGTGTATATTTTTAGTAAACCTTCTTCTATCTACTACTTTTATTTATATTGTGAAATACTCCTTAAAAAATAATAAATATTAATTATAATTAAATTTTAGGACACTCATGAGCGCATTAAAGCTGAATCTAGGCGGAGCCCCGGAAGGTCCAGCCGGCACCGGGAAGACGGAGACCACAAAAGATTTGGCCAAAGCCGTCGCAAAGAAGTGCGTGGTGTTTAACTGTTCCGACGGTCTGGACTATAAAGCGCTAGGCAAATTCTTTAAGGTATTCCTTACCTTGCTTGTTTATCTTACTGCACGATATATGACTATTATCGAAGGTAGAAATATTGGAATCCCTAAAGGGAAAAATCCCACTATAATGTCACCTTAAACAAAAGCTTTCTGTTTTAAACAAAGAAAAAAAGTTCTTCGTGAAAACTTCTTTTATGTTTTTTTTTCGTTATGCCACAAAGGCATCCATTTTATCCATTATAAGAATTTTGCTCATAGAAGTCACTACTTTATTTCAGGGTTTGGCTCAATCTGGTGCTTGGGCCTGTTTCGACGAGTTCAACCGTATCGAGTTGGAAGTACTATCGGTGGTGGCTCAGCAGATTCTCTCCATCCAACTGGCTATCTTGCGTCGTGATAAACGATTCATATTTGAAGGCACGGAAATTAGTCTCAATCCGACATGTTCTGTATTCATTACAATGAACCCTGGGTGAGTGGATGAAAATATTATTTATTCTCTTTGTAATTAAGAATAATTGTTAAAATATTGTTTACAATGTTTAATTTAATATGTACCATTAGATACGCCGGTCGTACTGAGTTGCCGGATAATTTGAAGGTGCTGTTCCGAACCGTGGCCATGATGGTACCGGATTATGCTATGATTGGCGAAATCACTCTTTACTCCAACGGATTCGTCAACGCTGGCCCGTGAGTATTATACTTACTTACAACTAAACTATAGTTATGACCAGGTCAGATCTAGAAAAAAGATCTAGTTTTCTTCTTCATCTTTCTGTCATTAAACAAATGTGTAATCATTCAAAAGTTTAAAAAGCTGTAACGATACGTTTGTCCACTTTGCTTCAGATTAGCTCGTAAGATAGTCCAAGCGTACAAGCTGTGTTCGGAGCAGTTATCCTCGCAGAACCACTACGACTATGGGATGCGCGCCGTAAAGTCGGTTCTGTTAGCCTCCGGAGCGCTAAAGAAGAACTACCCGGAGAAAGATGAGTCTCAGCTGGTGCTAAGAGCTATTATTGATGTCAATATGCCAAAGTTTTTATCACAAGTGCGTTTAATTATGATTCTAAACAGGTAAATTTTGGGATTTTAATAAATTATAAGGAAGAAATTGTTTTTGTTAAGGACGTACCTTTATTCATGGGCATATACTCCGATTTGTTCCCTGGAGTGGAGATTCCGCAGCCAGACCGCGCGGAGTTGCTCAAATGCATCAATAAAGAGTTGGAGAAGCGGAATCTTCAACCCACTGATTGGTATCTGGAGAAAATTATTCAGGTAAGTTAGTATATAAAGTACATTTGAAATAAGATATTCTTTTGGGGATTATTATTTTTTATTTATCTAAATAAATTCCGGTTTTAGTTTACGCCAATAGTAATAGGAATATGTTTTTAATTTTATAAAATAATAAAGTTGTTTCATATAGCCGATAAGCTGTAAAACATTGATATTTCTCACTTTAATAGATCTACGAAATGATGCTTGTACGACACGGTTTCATGGTGGTGGGGCCGCCCATGGGGGGTAAGACCCAAGCCTACCAGACCCTCGCGGATTCACTGAGAGCTCTGCAACTGATGAAACCACCACCCAGGCACAAGGAATTCGGGGCAATTTATCGAATTCTTAATCCTAAGGCGATTACCATGGGCCAACTGTATGGGTGTTTTGATCCAGCTTCTCACGAATGGTAAGAGGGGGGCGTTTACTTGATACTTGGGTCATGTCAATTTTTTATTCATATATTAGACATATTTACAAGCATATTTGATCTTGCAGGTCTGATGGAGTGCTGGCCATAGCGTTCCGTGAATACGCGATGTCCATAACGCGAGACCGCAAGTGGATCCTGTTCGATGGGCCGGTGGATGCCGTCTGGATCGAGAACATGAACACTGTCCTGGATGACAACAAGAAGCTGTGTTTGATGAGTGGAGAGATTATTCAGGTACAATCTGTGCAAAGCGATAATTAAAATATTTTATTATATATTAGGTATACTTATTTAAAATGAAAAACCTATGACCACGGCTGCTGCTAAGCACAGTAAGGCCGTAGTAAAATTAATTTTCAATTAAGTTTAACTAATATATTTCCCGTTTTAAACTGTTGAAGTGTTTTATTTAAATGGGTAACACTCGCGTCACACGATCAGTACAGTCTTTCTGGTCCATATGCATAAGAGAAGTACTTAATCTTTTCCAGATGACAAACAAAATGAACCTGATCTTCGAACCGGCTGACCTGGAGTTCGCGTCGCCGGCTACAGTCTCTCGATGTGGGATGATCTACATGGAGCCAGAACAATTAGGTACTTGCACTACTGCATGTTCATTATTAACTGGTTATTTAGAGATTTAGTAAGTTGATTGTATTACAAACCATTACATACTAATTTTAAATTCCTCTGGTGGAAATTCAGGGTGGCGTGCATTCCTTAAGTCTTACAACACCCATCTCAGCAAGCGGCTCATCCCAGAACAGTTCGACCTTATCCAGGAGTTAATAGATTGGCTGGTTCCTCCTCTGTTCGAGTTTATTCTCACGCGTTGTTCACACTTCGTGCACGTGGGAGAAATACATCAGTTCTTTGTGAGTAACATTTTAATTTTAACGCTTAGTTACAATAAATAGAACCAAAGAATTAATATTATAGAATTTTTGATGTGTGAATAGCAAGAAGTTTTATTCTATTTCAGTCTTTCACTCGTCTCTTTACGTGCTTGTTGGAGGGCGAGTCTCAGTTCAGTACGATCTGGCTTCAGTGCACGTTCGTCTTTGCGTTACTCTGGGGAATTGCTCCTACCCTTAACGGTAAATATTTGTATATGTCAAGGAGACCAGAATAGTTAAAATGCATAAAACCTCATTTTATTTGTAGGAGAAAGTCGCAAAACCTTCGATTCATTCTTCCGCAAACTGCTGGATGGCAGCAACGCGGCGTACCCGAAGCCAAAGTCGTTCAAATTGACAAAGAATCAGCTCTTCCAAGACAAAGATACTGTGTACGATTACGTGTATGACAAACGAAACGGTGGCACCTGGATACCTTGGGTAGACTTGGAGAAGGAGGTGCCCTTGCCAGCTACGGCTAAGGTGTTATTTTATTATTTTATAAATTAGTTGGTTAAATAGGAACAAAAATGTGTGAATAACTTACATTAGCAGGGTAGGTAGTAATAATTTAAAACATGGCTCCTAGGTAAACGACCTAATTATCCTCACAAATGAGAATGCGTGTCTCCGCTTTTTCGTGTCAAAAATGGTGAAGTCCAAGATTCCGATCCTGCTCGTTGGCCCGACAGGAACGGGCAAGTCGTCACTGGTGCTCAATTTTCTTTTGTCCCTGCCCAAGGAGAAGTACATCACAAATACTATAAACTTCTCCGCTAGGACCACCGCTAACCAGGTGAGGAACTTGACGGCTTTCAATCTAATTTTTAAGGAAATTAAATTTTTGGCTTTTCTTGTTCTTTGTACAGAACGATGCGATGAATAGAGCGCCTATAGACTCAGTAGTGTTCGAATTGACAATCTTATACTACATTATATTATAGAAACATATACTATTTGTGATTTTTCAGACGCAAGATATTATAATGTCTAAAGTCGATCGAAGGAGAAAAGGTGTCTTTGGTCCCTCTATGGGTAAAAAGGTACGTTTAACTATAGATGAAGTTTCGCACTAAATAGAGAAAAAATACAATTTTGATAATTAATTTTCAGTGTGTGTTATTTGTGGATGATCTCAGCATGCCCCAAAAGGAACAGTGGGGTGCGCAGCCTCCTTTGGAGCTGCTTCGGCAGTGGATCGACCACGGACATTGGTACGATCTGAAAGAAATGGTGCGACAAGAACTAGTCGACGTGGTATGTGACATCAATATATGAGACCTATTTTCGATTAATATGTTCACTTTCTTGAAGGACTTTTCTTATATCGTTCTGGCTCGGTCATGTATTATCGTATGTTTTACAATTTCTATGATTTTAAAATCCTACGAAGGCTTTGGACATTGCATTTTTGCGTTTGTGACAGTGGTTCCTCATCTGGACGGAATTTCGATATTCCTATCACCCATTTAATATCTATATTTCCAGACGAAGTTCAACATCTTTCAGAAAGGTGATTAGAAAGATGTTGGTCCCGGTGGGGATCGAATCCACGATCCGTTGATTATTAGCGGTTGGTGTAATGGTGGAATGGTAACAATCATACATTATTACCATTACACCTACGGGCATGATTTAAATAATTTAAAGTATTTAAATGTGTACAACTCGCGTAAACTTCAGACAATTCAAAAACACCTATTTGCAACAATTGTCCATAGCGTTTTACATAGACCTAATCGCTAGTGGGTTATGCCTTTTCCAGCTCTTCGTATCAGCGATGCTTCCCCCCGGAGGTGGCTCCAACCTAATTTCGTCTCGGCTCACTCGTCATACGGTGCTTATTACCCTCGACTCGTTCGAAGACAACACCCTCAACAAGATCTTCTGCACTATTATGGATTGGCACTTTGCTAAGGGATTCACCGATACCCTTGCTAGGCAAAGTAAGGTTAGTACCATTTAACAGTTATGGACTGAATTACAAAACGGTATTAACATAATATAAAGTTTAACAATTAACTAAAAACGTACCTAAAACGCCTTGATTCCGTTGTAGAAAAAAACAAAAAAAGGGGAGACAAAAAAATAAACAATTATTAGTTTGGCTTTTGAAAATACGTTTTGCTGCTTATGTACGTCTCAATTTCAGCAAAATAATTACTGTTTTCAGTCGGTGGTTGGAGCCACCATGGAAGTCTACAAGGCGGTGACCCTCCAGTTCTTGCCGACACCCAGCAAATGCCACTATCTCTTCAACCTTCGGGACTTTGCGCGGGTTATTAAAGGTGTCCTTCTGGTGCCTTCCACGCACATGAAAGACGTCAACAAGCTAGTGTTGCTCTGGATACATGAGACTTACCGGGTCTTCTATGATCGTCTGGTTGATGATAGTGATAGGTAATTACAACTATACATAATAAATACTTGCGCACACTGTGTCAGGATTTGGTTGTTTGAAAGATTCTGTAATTTTGACTTTAAAATTAGAACTGTTTTGTGATCAAGTAGACTGCATACCTGTTACCATTTATAACGAGTTAATAGTATTTTTTACTTTGTTTTTGTATAATTTATTATAGCGGCAACAGAAATACATAATTCGCGAAAATTTAAACTCTATTACATAAAGAGAAAATTTTAGTCGGTAATAGCTTAAATCTAACTTAACAGTTGCCATTTCATTGATTTTCAGACTGAAGCTATTCGATGTGGTGTACAAAGCAGTGTACGGCAATTACCGCGTGCATATGGACCAAGTCCTCACTGAGACCGGTTACGTGCCAGAGGGGGAGAAATGCGGTAACAGGCACGCGGCCAACATATTCTTTGGCAACTATATGGAACCTGATGCTGACCCAAAGATATACGACCAGGTATCATGATTTTGATCCCTTCTGTGTATATAATAAAAAAAACATCTTATCTCTACATCGCTGTTAGATGAGTTTTTGCTTCATATATAAAATGGATTTATATAACATGCACGTCTCTTTAAACTTTAAAATATAAAGACAAAATGTTCATTGATGTAACTACTATTTTCAATATACTTTTCTAAATTCAAGTCAGCAAAAAGTCTTTTAGATTTATTTTTTTATAGTTAGCTGTTTTTTCTTTCCATTTTTAATTTAAGTGAAACTATACAAAGGTTATGGACTTGGATGACATGTCCGTGAAGATGGAGTACTATTTGGAAGAGTACAACGTGGTCTCCTCGTCCCCGATGTCGCTGGTCATGTTTCGTTACGCGCTGGACCACATTTCACGGTGTACTCGTGTGCTGCTGCAAGATAATGGTATTATTTACGAATACGAAACCTACTTTCGTTCCATACCAAGTCCACCGTTTCCAATATAAATATATTTTTAAAATTTCCCGGCATATGTTGGCCTTCGTCTGAAAATCTGAATAATTAAATGTTAACACTGGGTGGTTTGTAACACCCTCTACGGATGTAAAAGCCATGCCGTATTTCACCATTATCAAGTAAATCTCACGCTTATCTGACCTCATGTATAATAAAACATAATCTAAACGGAAAGGAACTCGTTTAGTGAAGTTTAAAAATTCTCTTCGTTCCAGGTAATTTGCTTCTAGTAGGAGTCGGTGGAAGTGGGAGAAGCAGCGCTGTGAAATTAGCTGCGAGCATTCTCGAGATGAATGTCATACAGGTTGATTATTATTTACTAATATATTTTGACATTACCGTTTAAAAATAATACAAAATAGGAGTTATCAATATTATTATAAACTTTAAAAAAATGCAGATACTTACTTTTTCTTTAACTAATTTATGTTGTTGTTTTTTTAAGTTAGATAGATATCACGACCACATAAAGTAGAAATTCATTTATTGATCTTAATGTAAATCTTTCTTGTCAGATTGAAATATCCCGCGTGTACGGACAAAACGAGTGGAGAGATGACCTTCGGAGAATGTTGATGAAGGCCGGAATCATCGGAAAGCCAATCGTCTTCCTGTTTGCTGACAATCAGGTTTCAATTCTACACATGCCATTAGTTTTCTTACTTCAGTGGTACAATAAAAGCTATTTCCCGTTCCTCGTCTTCCAGATAATGTACGAAGGTATGGTGGAGGACATCAACATGCTACTGAACACGGGAGACATTCCAAACTTGTACGGAATGGACGAGAAGGTGGAAATACTCGACAAGATGCAGGCGGCTGTTAGGGAATCGGTTAGTCAAGAGTAATATTGAGCTAGATACGTCTACGTCAGTTGCTACAAATGCTAGACCTCTTTTTAAACATATATTTTAACATTATTTATTAATAGTATGCAGTAGATCTTGGTTTTACTCGTATTCTCTACAAAGATACGCACAAAAATACAAAGTAAAAGTTCCTCTATATAACATTACATAAGGGCATATCCCTTCCCGAAGACAAGTTATTGTGGCTCGAGTATGGTCGATAAAGTAGCATTGACTTTTGAGAGATGATAGACGGTTACAGATTAACAGAGAGGTGACAACTTGTCATTTTAAACAAACGTCGAGGTAGGCATTTTTTGTGGCGAGACACAGTCTCGTGGCCGACGGGTACTCGAGTTCTAGTCGTAAAGCAATGGAGTTAGTTCAGAGTCAATGTTAGTCACGAACGGTCGTCGCCTTATAGATTACTACAGCCATATTGAACTGGTGCCTTTCCAAAAGTTATCCGTTTGGATCGTTTCGATCGTTGCGTATTTTGTGTTCATTCGTTTCAAACGATTAAAATAGTCTTTGTACCGTGCGAGGGAACGTTTATTTTAAGTATTCTGTCGGGTCATCCGATAATGCTTCGTCAAATATGCCATCACGTGCAACATGGGAAAAGTAATAGTTTTCAAATTGTGGTATGTTACAGGGAAAGAAAATAGAGACCACCCCGCTGGCGATGTTCGGTTTCTACGTGGAGCGGGTGAAGGCCAACTTGCGGATCGTTCTCGCCATGTCCCCGATAGGGGACTCTTTCAGGAATCGACTCAGGATGTTCCCGTCCCTCATCAACTGCGCTACGATTGACTGGTTCGTATAATTCTTAATTATAAAAATAGTCCCGTGCCTTTGATTTGATTGAAATTAGTGAAAATGTCGGTGAATTTCGTGGGTAGACCGACGGCGCATTTGGTCTTGGATTAAAATCGCTATTTGTTATACTTTTTTGGTAGTGAGTTCGATTCCCGCCGGGTACGACGTGTTTTTTATCAATTTGTATTTTTCTGAAAAACGTGAGCCGAGAAATATAGATCCTAAATGGGTAGTTTATAGTTGCTACTACCGACCAAGGACGATAAAAAGCCGTAAACTTTGATCACGTTTCGACTTTCGGCTTCAATCTGTGGATATCTCCTTCCATCAAAGTATATACCATAAAAATACACGTGGATTTTAGATTTGTATTGGTCTAAAAAGTGGAATTGCTTTACTTCGTTGTAGTTATGTGTTCGCTGATAGTAATTAATCTAATCGAAGATGTTGGCGTTACATGTTTTTCAGGTTCACTTCTTGGCCACCAGAGGCGCTCGAGCGTGTGGCCTCTATGTTTATAGCAAAGATGGAAAACGTAGAGGACGAGCTGCGAGCTGCGTGCGTCGAAATGTGCCAGCTATTTCACATGAGCGTGGTTGCATTGAGCGACAGGTATTTTAAGCTATCTATAGAATTGGTTGGCCTTTACTTTTAATAATGTAAACGATGTGATAGAACAAACTTACAAAAACTCTATGGCCCTAATTACCAAAGGTGCTGCACGGATCTTTTGACTTATAATATGTTGTAAATAAGTACGTGTTGTAGAATAATAATAATAAATGACATAGATTTCAGATTGAAATAAATCTACGGCACGGACAGGACGTGGATGCCGGTTCAAATCCTGCTCATGTCGTAATTTTTTTTCTCAATATAAAATCGATTTTTTAAATTATATTGTGCCATCATGTGCAATAAAATATTAAAGCTTTCGCAATAGATTTATTATTATAATATCTCCTGTGTTAACTGCTTTATAAAATCACCTTGATTCTTCAGACAAAGTAAAGGTATATCGAATAAAATTAGAAAAAAATGTTGTTATCTGTACTCTTTATTCGAACCTATAATTATATAAGTGTCCATTTGTAGATTCTACTCGGAACAGAAACGCAAAGTGTACGTTACTCCAACTAGCTACTTAGAACTCATTAAAGCGTTTCAGAATCTCTACGCTTTGAAAGTTGATCAAATCACTAAGGCCAGAATAAGGTAAGAAAGTGCGTTCTCTAAATTGTATAGTACTTACTTACTTTACTTGATTTATGTTTAATACTTGCTTCGCTTGGTACCCACATTGTTTTCGTCGCTTTGCTCATTTAAACGCCATTGCTTGTGGGGTTTCTCGGCCTCTTGGTGGGCCAAAAATGATAATGTGTACTCCTTAATGGTTGCTGCTTGTACCACAAGCATCAACTCGTGTATGTGATGTTATTACAAAATTAACTAGGTACGTAAAGATCTTGTAAAATGAAGGTAGACAGTAAAAATATTCGTGGGGAGATTTTTTTTACCTTTTTTAATGATTTTTTTTATCCTGTAGATATGAGACAGGTCTAGAACAACTGGAGTTCGCTGCGGGTCAGGTGGCGGTGATGCAGCAGAACTTAATCGATTTGCAACCGTTGCTTGTGGAAACGTCAGATAAAACCGAAAAGCTTATGATTAAGATTGAACAGGACACCGTTGTTGTCGAGAGGCAAAAAGAGGTAATTTTGAAATTTCCTTGTATAAAAAAAATGAATTATTCAAAACCAACCGAGTAGGACCTTCCTACCTCTAGTAGTAAGATTATTAACTGTGCTTACTTAAATTTATGATCTTTACCAGATAGTAGGAGCAGACGAAGCTCTGGCCAATGAGGCAGCTGCAGCTGCTCAGGCGATCAAAGATGATTGCGAATCTGATCTTGCCGAAGCAGTCCCGGCGTTACAAGCGGCTTTAGACGCTCTTAATACTCTGAAACCCGCTGATATCACTCTGGTCAAATCTATGAAAAATCCGCCGGCTGGAGTCAAGCTCGTGATGGAAGCCGTCTGCGTAATGAAAGGAATCAAGGGTGATAGAAAAATGGATGCCAATGGTATTGCAATATGTATAATTTTTTGTTTTTACCGTTAAAATAATATCCATATATATGGAAAGCTTGAAAAGTTTAATGTTATTGCACATATAAGTATAGCACAACATAAAAATAGAAACGCTGAAGATCCCGTTTCCAAGTCCTGTCTGAGTCGTTAATTTTTTTTGCAATTCATAATCGATTTTTTATTTATATGGAACGCTTGTCCTAACGCTTCAAATAAATGAAAGTAAGTTATAAATTAATATCGCTAAACGTTGTTGTTCCTAGTTCTCAATATTTCTGAGGCATTTGTTCCGTTTTTCCTTATAAATGTGTATTTGATGATGATATAGCCCGAAGCAGATAATAAACTTATTTGGACTTTTCTTCAAAGAAAAGGTAATTTTTATTTTTAGGTAAACCCTTCGAAGACTTTTGGGGACCGTCACAAAAAATGTTGGGAGACATGAAGTTTCTGGAAAGTCTTAAAAATTACGACAAGGACAACATTCACCCGACTATTATGAAGAAAATAAGAGACAAGTAAATATGATTGTCAATTACACGTTGATTGACATATTATATTATTTTTTAGTTTTTATTTATTCTCAATTCAAATAGGTATATCCCCGACCGTGAATTCGACCCCGCAGTTATAGCGAAGGTATCCTCCGCTTGTGAAGGGCTCTGCAAGTGGGTCCGAGCTATGGACGTCTACGACAGAGTGATCAAGGTAAATTTAGCGTTATGTATTCGTGACAGATGTGATTCGTGTTTCTCAGAGTCAAGTAAAATTAAATGTTATCTTGGTTACTAACAACCACATGTGCATTCTGTTTTATGTGTATAATATTGTTGATAAAAAAATATCCCAGGTGGTAGCACCCAAGAAAGCGGCCTTAGCTGAAGCGGAATCAGAACTCCAAATGCAGATGAATACCCTCAACGAAAAGAGGGCTCAGCTCCAAAGCGTACTTGATAAGTTGCAGGTAAAAAGCATATCTTAATATTTTTTAATGTTAGAGAAGGACAGGCGTGCGTGGGGTTCATGCGAGGTGAAATACCTGACCCATATAACGTCCGCACAAGCTGCGCTGCCGATCTATTTTAACTTTGGATACTCGGAACTTCAGATTGAAAGTGAAATCGTGATCCGGACGGAATTTTGATATTCCTACCACCCGTTTAACATCCAGATTTTCTAGATGAATTCAAACGTGTGTCAGAAAAAATAAAAACATGGACCCGCTGGGCACTCCATTAGACCAACGAGCGCATAGCCATTAGTGCTCTTTCAAATTTTAATACCTTAGAATAATATAAGAACACTTGAATTAAACTTACAAATGCCAAAATTTTTACTATAGTAAAATATCATGTTTCGTAGGCGTTGAACGACGAATTCGCGGAGATGACTCGTAAGAAGAAAGGCTTGGAAGACGAAATAGATTTGTGTTCCACCAAGCTGTCGAGAGCCGAGCAGCTCATCGGCGGACTCGGTGGGGAGAAAGCGAGATGGACAGATTTAGCGTTACAACTTCAGAATTTACTTGACAATATAATTGGTGAGACTAATCGTTAACCGTGATTAACTCGTTATAGGGATATACTGCCTGTGGCTTACACAAGAAATAAATAACACACATAACAGTTTTTGATTTAACTACAACCAAACATATAGGATGTTTTACATTCTTTTAGTAGTCTTGGTTTCCAACTAGAGCCCCTCATGACGACGGCCGCTGCAATGCATTCGAGCATTTAATTAACGTCTTTAAAAACCTTTCACAGGCGATGTACTGCTTTCTGCTGGATTTATCGCATACTTGGGACCATACATAGTGAACTATAGGAGAGAGATTATACACATGTGGAACAAACGCACCGTGGAATTGCGTAAGAGTTGTTTTTGATTGTTATTTTCCCCGTGTACGAAAAGGTCTTTGTTATTTATTGGAAGTCCATCATATTTAAAATTAACCCTTTAACGAATGATTTTTTCGAATAAAATTCTGCTTAAATAACACTAGTTACAGAATTTTAAAAAATCGAAAATTAAGTTACGGTTGAAATTACATTCCGCGAGAGGTGCACGTATCAGTAAGTGGAAAGAATTCGACGATGAGGTGTAGGAATCGGTAGCTCAATTGGTAGAGCAACAGCACGGAATGCTGACGATGTCGGTTCAAGTCCTGCCCGAGTGGAAAATTTTTTCAATTTATTTTCGATTTTTAAATTATATAGTGCCTTCGTGTGCAATATAACATGTAATAAATAATAAAGTTTTCAAGCTAAGAAAGTTGAAGAAGTTAAAAATTGTGTTGTGTAAGTGTTGCAAAGTAAAAACGATTCACGGTGTCTTATTTATTAGTCTCTACTCTGTCGACTTACAATTTAATAAAATAAAAATCTAGAATTTCAAAAATTTTAAGACGGGCAGGACTTGAACCAGCATCATCTACAGCGTGTATCAATAATAAATTCTAAATAATAAATTATAGACTGCCATCATGCGCAAAATCATGTGAAAAATATTAAATTATTTATAATTTAATAGCATTAATTAATGACTTCAGAAATCCCCTGTTCGGAGACATTTTCTTTAATAACAACCCTCGGTGAGCCGGTGGTCATACGCGCCTGGAACATCGCTGGGTTGCCTGTCGACGCCTTCTCCATTGAGAACGGCATCATTGTCGAGAAGTCCAGACGATGGCCGCTCATGATCGACCCCCAAGGTAAAGGGTATTCCCGTACCAATATCAGCCCGTATGTGTCCACTTTCTTCAGGTCATCAGTCCATCTGGCGAACTTTAATTTTTTTGTAAGCTTGAGTGTTTGTTGCGGTATACATTATTGAAATGATTATATAGTATTTACACAAGTCCCTTCCAATGATGATTTCACTTCCGTTACTGCTAGAGCAAGCAAACAAATGGGTGAAGAATATGGAGAGAGACAACCAGCTCAAAGTGATTAAACTGACGGATCCGAATTACGTTCGCGTAATGGAGAACGCGATCCAGATGGGATTGCCAGTCATACTCGAGAACATCCGGGAGCATTTGGACGCTGTGCTGGAGCCAGTTTTATTGAGGAACGTGTTCAGGTGAGAAGATCAACTCAAATAGCCCTCTTATGTTTAACTTAAGCATCGTGGCACGAACTCTGATTACTTTAGTTGTTTATTTTTCATTTTAATAATGGTCTTCTATTTTTTTTTGGTTCCTTTCCACTTAATAATCAGGTCAGCTGGCATAGACTGCCTGAAGCTGGGTGACAACGTTTTAGAATACAACCACAACTTTCGATTCTACATCACCACGAGGCTCGGCAATCCCCACTATCTACCAGAAATTGCTGTCAAGGTTTGCCATTTATCATTTTTTTACAGATACATTTCTTTCTGTGCATTTAATAACTTAGTTCTTATCTTCATTTCTGATACAAACAGCAAGTTTTTAAAAGTATATCGAATGTGAGTTAAGTACAAATGCATTAAAGGTTGCTCTTCCAGGTCACAATGCTTAACTTCATGATAACCCCGCAAGGATTACAAGATCAGCTGCTGGGTATAGTAGTGGCGCAAGATCGACCCGAATTAGAGTTGAAGAAGAATCAACTCATCGTGGAGGGAGCTAATAATAAGAGAACGCTTAAAGAAATTGAGGATAAGATTCTGGAGGTAACATTGAAAATCAGTAATTCTTTACATAGCGAGCTTTTCTTACGTACTGTTTGTAGTTTACAAACAGTACGCGAATAAGCTAGAGTAGTACACATTTACATAAAACACAACGTATTTACAATTTATTGTAACTTCGGCCCGACGTTTCGGATGCTTAGCAACAGCCGTGGTCAAGGGCTTTCCGCGTTTTAAGTGTTTTATTTAATTTTTATTCGCATTCCTTAGGTGCTGTCGTCCGCTGGCAACATTCTAGAAGACGAATCGGCCAATCAGATCCTTTCTTCTTCGAAAGTTCTCTCGATAGAAATAGAAGCCAAACAGGCGTCGGCCGCCGTCACGGAGAAGGAGATTGACGAAGCGCGACTGCTCTACGTGCCCGTCTCCAAACATAGTTCCGTTCTCTTCTTCTGCATTTCAGATCTATCCAATATCGACCCTATGTATCAATACTCGTTGAATTGGTTAGTACTGTAGTTAATAGTTAAAATTACATATACGCAGATTAAACGGTTTAAAACGCAAAATGTATTAGTAAACTTATTTTTACTTTATCGTAAGTTTTCCTTTTGCAAAATTATAATTATTAACTACGATGAAACGGGTGGCGCTAACGTAGTAATTTTGACTTTGACAGGGAGGGGATTTGTTTTAAGGGATAACCGTAATTTTTATACCCCCGTGACCACGGCTGCTGCAAGGCGTCCGACGCGTCGGGCTGAAATTAAATAAATAAATTTACTAATATTACGGGTTTTAAACAGTTTCATTTAAATGGCATAATTCGTTACCCATATTTCAAACGCAGGTTTATTAACCTCTACAACCAAGCCATAGTGAATTCACCGAAGAGCGACATACTGGACGAGCGGTTGGAAGGACTCAACGCGTTCTTCACCAAGAGCATCTACGAGAACGTCTGCCGGAGTCTGTTCGAAAAGGATAAGCTCATCTTCTCTCTCGTTCTGACGCTTGGGATACTACGCGCTAGAGTGAGATGGGTTTACACGTATTAAAGCATTTTTTGATGTTTTATTAGGAGACAAAAATATAAGTATTTATATCTGTGCGTTCTACAAATATAGGATGTCTCAGCATCAAAAGTTATTCAAATATAATGTTAGTATTTATTTTCGTTTTTATAAAATAACGGACCTGTAAGTGAGACAGTCTTACTTCAAGCAAACAATAATTTCCTTTCAACGTTAAAGGGCCAAATTGACGATGACCTGGTGTCATTTCTGCTAACCGGGGGCGTAGCTTTGGAGAACCCTTACGAGAATCCCGCTTCCGCTTGGCTGACGGACAAGGCCTGGTCGGAAATCGTGCGTAGTAGTAACCTCAATGGGTAAGGATGTTGTTTTGAATGTACTTGCGAATTGAACGAACAGTTGTTATTTAAAATAAATTAATTATTTTCGTATAAAACCATTACTTATAGAACCAGATAGTGTTACACAAACATTTAATTATAACACTGGTTTAAAACGCGTAATATATTAGTCTCTTGTTGACGACGGCTGCTGGACTTCTGCCAAAACGACGGGTCGTATTAAAACGCCGTCCCTATATACATATACTTTTAAGATTTTGTTTTTTTTTATTTAATGCATATATTTAAATATAACACTTTATCGGTTTAAAATGTCATATATTTTAGTTAAACTTGTTTGAAAATTATTTTTACTATGGCCCGACGTTTTGCTTTGCAGAAGCCGTGGTCACGGGGATACTCTTTGTCTCAGCTTAACTAAAATATATCGCGTTTTAAACCGGTAAAGTGTTTTATATAAATGTGTACTACTCGCGTAAACTACATGCAGTATTTAATGCATATAATCTTTTTAAGACATATTTGTTTGATTGTAATTTTTGCAGATTAGTAGGTAGGATTCGGTTAGTATTTACGCAATTTAAAAATAATAACAAAAATGCATTAAAGGCAAAATTTTACTGCATTGTAAAATTTACTATTGCATCTCCACAGTTGAATAAGACAAGCATATTCTTAGAAATAGATTTTATCTATTAATAGCTCCTATCTTAAATTCATATGTTGTTACGAAAGCTTGAGCGAGGGTAGCGTGGCCGAGCGGTCTAAGGCGCTGGTTTAAGGCACCAGTCTCTTCGGAGGCGTGGGTTCGAATCCCACCGCTGCCATAACTTTTTGATTTTTATACCAACGACTTGAACAAATGTTGTATTGGCATGATTATATGCAATAGAATGCCATGCCGTCAATATAAATAAAAAACATACTTGGTACTGATTGAAGATACTTGATTTTTTAGATAATAAGTGTGTTTTTACTATCGAAAAAAAATAGTTTAATATCTAATAACTTTTACGTGACGGGTTTTTTAAGTTTTGTACTAGAGGGCGCATTTCTTGTATTGAATACTCGAATAATTATTAAACAACCTGAAAAAGATTTGCTACGTGCTAATGTTATTATTATGTAGACTACGTGGCTTCAAAGAGAATTTCGAGTCTAACGTCCCTGCATGGAAGGAGTTCTACGATCTGTCAGCGCCCCATGAGACTTCCTTTCCGCATCCTTACGAGGAAATTCGGGGCATTCCTAAGCTGATCATGCTACGGTGAATAATGTTTTCCTTATTAAAACTATATTTTTTGTTACATTGTCCCTGAATTAACAATTATGCTAGCTTGCTATTAGAGTAAAAAAATGTGAAGTACGTATGTGACTAGCATAGCTAGCAATAGACGTTAATGAGGCCCAAAAGCTAATCGAGTCCCAGCTGTTTATGTTTGATTTACTACAATTATGAAAAGTACGTTTCAAGTGTTCTTTCACGACACGTGTCTTTCCATATTTACCAATCCTACAGGCTGTTTTTGCAGCAGTTAAACTCGTGTTTGAAAAATATATGTACAATAACAGAGCAATAAAAGACAATTGATTTGCTCTGTTTTTGTATTATTTATTGTGAGAAATCTCGTTTCCCCACGCGGGGCATAGGGCGAACACATTTCTGTGTCCGTTTCACTTATCGGTTTTATTTACAGGCCAGTAGTTGATGAGACTTCTGTACTCTGCCCCGACCGAAACAATATACCGTTTCCCCGGGATTCGAACCCAGGACCTCTCACGCTTAACGCAATGCTAGGCAATATGTTTAACCATTTAGCTACAGAGGCGGTCGTATTATTGAATACTTCGATCAATTAATATTGTGTCCTAATCTGTCTGTCAGATGCATTCGTCCGGATAAGCTGATCCCTCTCGTCCAACAGTATGTTGTTGAGGAAATGGGACGCGTCTACATCGAACCCCCTCCTTTCGACCTAGAGAAATCCTACAACGACAGCAACTGCTGCTCCCCGCTGATCTTCATCTTGTCTCCTGGATCCGATCCGATGTCTGGGCTGGTCAAGTTCTCCATGGAAAGGAAAGTGGTCAGCTTCGAGACGATCTCGCTTGGGCAAGGACAGGTTAGTGAATAAATGAATGTGCTGGTATTGGTAACTTGCTCTCTAATATGATTCAGTCATTTAACCTCCTCAACACACCAGGGCCCCATAGCTGCCAATATGATCAACACTGCGATAGTGTCGGGAGGCTGGGTGGTGCTGCAGAATTGCCACGTGATGGACTCATGGATGGGAGAGTTGGAGAGAATCTGCGCTGAAGTCATCATCCCGCAGACCACTCACAAAGAGTTTCGATGCTGGCTCACCTCGTACCCCAGTCGGGCATTTCCCGTCACCGTTTTACAGAATGGTACGCTTCACTTAATAAAAGGCAACCAAATTGTCACTTAACTCTTCTTAACTGAATTTTAACGGCAGAGGGGTATGTGTCCAGAGCTCCTATTAATTAAGTAAACATATTTAATAACTACTTTGCTCAAAACTTCATATTAACTTTAGAGCAATGTTCATTTTTAATTATTTCCTTTCTTGCTTGAATGATGTTGTATTTTAGGAGATGTTGTTATTTATGCATTTAAATTAAGTGGAGACAACTATAGTAATATTGATTTAACTGTGTAAATAACTAAATACTGTCTATAGTTTACGCGAGTAGTACACATTTAAATAAAACACTAACAGTTTAACTAATATATCGCGTATTAAACCGTTAAAGTGTTTTATTTTATTTGTGTAAATGACTTTTCTCCAGGTGTTAAGATGACGAACGAGGCCCCAAAAGGTCTTAAGAACAACATCTACCGCTCGTACATCTCCGACCCGATCTGCGATCCGGAGTTTTATATCTCGTGTCCTCGCACAGAGGAATGGAGGCGTTTACTTTTCGCTCTGTGCTTCTTCCACGCGATTGTGCAAGAGCGTCGCGCTTTCGGACCACTCGGCTGGAACATCCAGTATGAGTTTAATGAGAGCGATCTTCGAATATGCATAATGCAGCTGCAGGTCTGAATATATAGTCTTGTTTATCTTTCTTCTTCCAAAAGTACAAGGTTTACGTGCCATACAAAACGTGTGCGATTAGGAGTGGGAGTGAGTGTAGGAGTTAGAGTAGAAGTGATATGAGGTGAGAGTGTTGTGGCAAAGTTGCATTTACAACATAGATTGGCTGCCTTAAATGCGCCCTTACAAAAATTAATAAACAGCCTAAATAATTAAAAATTCTACTTCACTAAACACTATTCCATGCGGACGAAGTCGCGGGCACAGCTAGTATAATATATATTGATTATTTGCTATGTACCATAAAGATGTTTCTCACGGAATATGCGGAGACGCCGTTGGAGGCGCTCAACTATCTCGCAGGCGAATGCAACTACGGCGGGCGTGTAACGGACGACAAGGACAGACGGCTCATTATGTCTCTCTTGTCTATATTCTACAATGAAGAGGTTACAGCAGATCCAGAGTAAGACCGATTTTATATAATTGTCCGGCTCGAGGGATTAAGGCATTTTTCAACTCCTAATTTATTACCTAGGTATTCTTTTTCTCCGAGTGGCGAATACCGAATGCCTGCTAGCATGGACTACAACAGTGTGTTAGAGCATATTCGCGCGCTGCCCATGATCGCGAAGCCCGAGGTCTTCGGTTTGCATGAAAATGCAGATATCACAAAAGACAATAAGGAAACAGCTGCGGTGAGGTTTTTCCTTTCCTTTACCTGTGCGCTCTGGAAGTTCATCGTTATCATGTGAAAATTTCGGTTGGCAGATATAGTTTTTTCCCTTTAAGATTACTTTCTTAAGTCTTTTTATATTGTCCAGTTGCTCTTCGGCTGTCTGCTCACCCAGACGTCCATAACATCTGGCGGGGGTGGGGGTGAGGGCGGTGAAGGTGGAGGAGTGGTAGAGTTGACCCGCGACATGAAGTCTCGTCTGCCGCCGCCCTTCGACGTCTTCGAAGTTTCTCAACGATATCCTGTGCAGTACTATAACAGCATGAACACTGTCCTCAAGCAGGCGAGTCACGATTAATCGACTGATTGATTTGTACAGATTTTGCTTATAAAGATTCCTTCACTCCTAGTTCTGTATAAGAAAGTAATAGGGTATCAATTTGTTTTGACACACAAATAGCTTTAACAGTATTATCGAGTAAGTGCTTAAACATTCCTGTGCTCCTTAAATTATACGCAGTACCCTAATAAAAATAAAACAATATGTGCACCTATTTAAGAAACAGTTCAATTCATAATATTATATGTGATATTACATTGTATATATTACATTCACACATATCGTAATACACTATAATCTCATAATTTCCGGTAAACTAAATTCCACAGGAGCTGATCCGCTACAATCGTCTTTTGGCCGTCGTAGCGCGAACACTCCACGGCGTGCATCTCGCTGCCCAAGGTCTGGCCATCATGAGCGCCGAGCTAGAGGGCTGTAACAATGCCTTTGTGAAGGGAATAGTACCGGGCGCCTGGATGTCCAAATCCTACCCATCCATGAAGCCCTTGGGCTCCTATGTGGCTGATTTTTTGGCGAGGTGAAGTAGAAACAAAGAGTTTTTATATTATTATGGACCTTATATATACACCATGTATATCAGATTTTCCAGACGCCAGAAACAAATTTCTGGTAATGCCATATATTTAAAACGGTAATGTAATGAATCTCTAAAACATAAAAGCAAATGTCCGATAGCAGTTATAATGGTTGGTATTTTTGTCGGAGTATTTGTTAATCGTCTACTACCTCTTGTATTATTTATTCCAAAAGTGGTATGATACATCACGTCATCACGGTATCATCTGCACCAGAAGTTTTGAGCTCTGCTAAATAAAACACCAAAATCACGATATAATAAAACGCTTTACTATCAAAACATTTGTGTCAGTGTACATAAATATTGTAACTATTCAGTCTGCTCTTAAGACTAGTGAATAGAATATTGCACTAACAGTGATGTACATACATATAAAATTAACAACCTTCCCTCGGCTCTTTTTGAGAATTCAGTGGAATCACTATATATGAAGTTGGAATATTTTAATTAAAGCTTCATTAACCTAATAGTGGGGTTGACCTTTGATATTTCAATACTACATATAATTTTAAAAGATAGTCTTTGCTCTTTTAACCTAGGGTATCACTCGGAAAACTTTTGAACCTTGCCAAAAAAATGCTGTCACAGTAGTTAATATCTGCAAGTCTGGCTGCCCTATCGTGTCCGTTCTATATATTCAATTGCTATATATATTTATTTGACTAATACTAAAAAGAACGGCACAGTCTACAAATTTTAACGACATATATCTAACCAGACAATACAAACTTCTAAGTCCCGAAATGTTTAATAGATCTATGTCAATACTAAATAACCGGGTGAAGCTCAAGCTAACAGTCTTATTAATAAAACCAAAGATGAATCAACCATCATTCTTTTTGGCTAGGTCAAGTAATTTGTTCATAAGCTCTCCACCGAAGGATTCCCTGTACTTCTGGCTAATACTGTTCAATAAGGCATACGGAGTCTCATAATTCATGTTCTCTATTGTGGCTAGGCCGATATCGTCGTACTTGCGTCCGACTACCCTGAATCCGGCTGCAGACATCTCGATGCAGTATTTGAGGTCCTCTAGAGTCGTCAGGTTCAGATAGACCCGCTGGTTCGTATTTTTGAGTGCGGTGGACACGCAAGCTGCTTTCACGTGCTTCCTTATGTCGTTGAGCGCCGCTTCGGCCTCTTGTGGCCAGGTCTCTTTGTCTAGTACTTGTTCAGACATCTGAAATAGATTATTGCTTGTGAATCTGAAGTCATAGAAGACTGCAATTATCTTCAGGCGACATTGATCTTGGAATTACTTAAATTTTTTACAATTGCTTAATTAATACATTGGAAAAAACCGTGTTCTGTAAGAATTTCACATATTTGTGCTAAACCTAAATAAATAATATCTTTAATAATAAATAATGCTCCATAGTACTTAATCAAATTTTTGAATGAGGCAAAGCTGTAGACCACTAATTATGGTATCTGTTAAACAGATTGAAGTTCTTACAAGATTGGATTGATGAGGGACCGCCCATAGTATTCTGGATATCTGGCTTCTATTTCACTCAGTCATTCTTGACGGGTGTACTGCAGAATTACTCTCGCCACAATAAAATTCCTATTGATCAAGTGCATTTTGAATTCAGCATTACTAGTATGGAAGCTGAGTGTGAACAGGAACCGTCTTTTGGAGTGTATTGTAAGGTAATGTAGACTAGTTAGTAAATATAAAAAACATAATATGGCATACTCCTATATTAATTTATTCATAATAGACAATTATATTTTCTTAACAACTGTTACTGGTCTAAATATATACTGAATAATTCTCCATTTACAAGCAACCTCATAAAATGGATAAAGGAGATCATGAACACAGTGTATTTGTATGGGTGAGTGCGTGGTTGTGTGTGAATTGTTTATATTGTGCTTCAATTAAAACATATTTTTACTGATAAAATAATAAGAGAAATAAGTTTAATACTAGGTTTTAACTTGTATATGTAGTAACTTTCATGTACTAGAAAAAGTCTGTAGGCATGGTGCATGTTAGGTAGTATAATATTAGAGGTTTTGTTAATCATATGGATTTTCTTATTAGTTTTTAACCTGCATACTGTTAAAAATAATGTGTACTCTATATTTATACAATATCCTCTGTTTCCAGGGTTTGTTCCTAGAGGGAGCAAGATGGAATCGTGATGTCATGCAACTGGATGAGTCCTACCCAAAGATTCTGTTTGACACAATACCCATAATTTGGTTTCAACCTGCACTCATAGCTAACTTTAATCCACCTCCGTGCTACTTTTGTCCAATCTACAAGACCAGCGAGAGAAAGGGAGTTTTGGCAACCACAGGCCACTCTAGTAATTTTGTAATGTATATCACATTGCGGTCAGATATTTCTCAGAAGCATTGGATTAATCGGGGAGTGGCGAGCTTAACCCAGCTTGATGATTAAGTACTACTTTATTTTTATAACTTCTGTGATCATATGTTCTAGTCTAATAAACTCTTTATAAAGGGTCCCTTATTTTGTTCATAGTACTTGAGATTTATAAATACTTAGCAAATGAAAAATAAAAATCTTTAATAAAAGGTTATTCTTCATCTCACCTTTAATTATTATGCACCGACTCGGAACGGGGCCACTCTGAACGGTAAGTAAAATACTACGCCTATATACTTCTCATGCTATACTTTTTGTTAATTGTACTCTCATATGATGCATGTGTTATAATTCCAATTCATAAATATTTTCTTACAAGTTTGATTTGTCTGTTTTTAATGAATTGTTTTTACAGAAGCAAATTATTATTTACAAAATAATAAATTCTAGTGATGTGCCATTTAGCGTGTGCTTTGCTTTTCGTCGATGATGCGATTCATCGATTACGATAATTCATGGATTCAAGGACATGTAAATAATTATTTCCATTGAAGACTACTAAAATCATACATTTATAACATAACTTTTTAACTCATCTTACATCTAAATCGTTATCTTACGTTTAAATTATATTAATTTCTTGAATTAATCTCGAATCGTTTATTCCACATAAGTTAAATGCGAGAAATGTATATAAATCGTATTCGCAGTTATACCACAGATAATTCAACAGTACTCTATCGTACGTTTTTTGTCTGGAACATTCAAAGATAACATAGATCTGGTAATATGTGTAAGACATAAAATAGTCTTACTCTCAAGATTAAAATAGTACTATTAAACAATTTTTATTCCGTCATTTTCTAGTCACCGTAAAACGGAATGTAAGCGCGTTTGTTTGTTAGCTATAGATGGCGCTTTGAACTTGTAAACTGCGTATGGCGAATTGACGTTTTTGGTTATTTTTGTTCTCGCCTCGTGTTTACTTTAGTATCTAATTTCGGTCTTATTGTGATCATTTTGTTGTGCAATATTGAAGACGTTAATATTTCAATGTTTAAGGATTCTGCGGCATAAGGATCACTGTCAATATCGATCCGCGGTCACGGACTAGTTATATGTATACAATTTTATCACGTGGTGGTGTGATTTATATAATTCTTGTTTACCGCACAATTGGAAACTTTGCGCATGTGCGTCCCTTCAGTAACCTCAAAGAGTAGAAAGAACAAGGATTCGGCAGGTTCCGGATATCCGGGTGGCGGTGTGGCATCGCTTCTGTGAATTTGTGATGTGCTATCGCGGCGAGGGTGCGCGCCCCGCGTACGCTAGTTGGTGATATCGGCAACCGCCTAACATGGCTCAGACTCAGATTTCGCGGAGCTCGGAGAGCGACGCCTGGGCTCTCCTGTCGCTAAAGGCGCCGCCTTCGCCCTCGAAGGTGCAATGGGCGCACGAGCCGGCCCCGCTGGCGATAGCGCGCCTCGACGGCCGCGACTTCGAGTACCTCATACGACAGAAGAAAGTGGTCATCGGGCGGAACTCTAGTCGTGGACAGGTCGACGTGAATATGGGACATTCGAGTTTTATATCTCGCCGGCATCTGGAGTTGTTCTACGATCACCCGCAGTTCTACTTGACGTGCAACAGCAAGAATGGCGTGTTGGTGGACGGCGTGTTCCAGCGGAAGGGGGCCGCGCCAATGTTGCTACCAAAAAGGTCAGTACACTAAAGATAACGCAGAGGTCGTGATTACGCGTTATTTATTAGCATTGTTTGTAAACAATGCGTTTTTGTTTATACCTACCCATTTGATTCTACTTTGTTTACACAAGTGTTGGCCACTTCAGAGGCTTTTACTTGTGGCTCTAAGATGGTCTTGGAGGTGGCAAGTGTTTACTTTAAATCTTAGTCTTAAATCTTAGATTATTAATAAGGGAATAAAATAATGCAATATTTGCAAGCATACTATTTCCACAATTAGACACACAAATATAACAGTAATGACTGAACATTTGTTTATTATATGCCCATGTATTATAAGAGCTTGTCTTATTAAATTGCAGTCAACTTAGCCTCGACGGTGAGTTGAATGATCGATGAATAATTATTAAATCTATAAACATATATTTGTATATGATATTTAAAAAACTGCTAAAACATCCAAGCCATTAAACGCCTAATTATTTTTATGGTTGCTGCGTTATAAAGTTTTTGTTACTATACTTTTAGTTTGGTTATGTGTTCTTGATGTTCAATTTGATTGAATAATGCCAAATTATTGATTACACTATGAATGTTAAATTAAAAATGGGTAGATTGAATCAGCAGTAGTTTAGATAACATTGGATTTCAGTTATAATAATGTATTTTTACATTGTTTTAATATTTCAAAAAGGTGATCTTGTATAATTATATGTCCTAGGTTATTGTGCATTCTTAGACACGCATTTCAATCTAGCACAACTGATTAAGACATTTCTTGCAATCTGCGTTACATTACCGTAGTTTCAATATAGCAAACAAGAAAATTATCAATTTAAACTGATGTATTGTAACCAAAATACATCATAATACATTATTCATCATCCATCGGCATGTATGTGTATATATTTGGTTTGCCAGAGCACACCTAATTTTTTGGTAGATTTGGTAGATTGTTCTTGATATGTAACTTCGCTATTTTTCATTAACCTTCTTTTGTCTTTTATTTATATATTACACCTTTATCTACCTGAACCTTTCCGGGTCTTATCTTAACATTAATTCAACTCTCAATAAATTTAAATATTCTAAATGAGTTTATTTTTTACGTAATGACAAAGTTAGTATGGCTTATAAAATAAAAAAGTAAAAATAAAATAAAAGTTAGCCTAACATAGACATTGCAATTAGTCTCAGCATAAGTTCACTAGAAAAATTGCTGGTAAGTGGAACTGGACATGGGTAGGTCCTGGAGGAATAATAATGTTCAAGGAAAAATATGTTATGTTGCTCCAAATGTATATCCGAAGACAAAATTGGTAGAAAAGTGCACCTTGTTGTTATATTTCACTGACCTTCAAGTGACCCCCACTTGACTTGAGCTTTTCTGCTCTTTTTCTATTTGGATCTGTGTTGCATTAAAATCTGAGCTATTTGTTATTATTTTCAAATCCCCCAACATTGAATACCCGTTTGTTGTTGGCACAAGGCCCTTTTATGTAAACACATTGGTAGCATTCTCTAATGCAGGTAGATAGATGTATTTCTAGTTTTTGTGACACACGCCGTCTACTACTTAGTCGTGTTTACACTGGCCTTGTGTGTACGTTATCTATGTTCACCTACTTGCATAAAACACGCAGCATATTTCATTGAAGCCAAAATGTCCTGTGTGTCTAAGATGCTATTAATTTAATTTTACAGTTTAAATTCAAATCGTGTATTGCATGCTCGAAAATACTGTGACGCAAACTACAGTTGTAAACAGCAACTTAATATCATTGTAATGTAATTGAAAATTGTTATGTTTTTCTTTAAATTGCTTTATTCATTTATTAATTCATGAATAATACATTATAATTCATAGAGAACCCGTTGATGAACACATTAGCTAAACAAATGACGACAAACGGTTCTATTTATCGTTCTTGCGTCTATTGGGAATTCCGTTTCGGTACGGTAAAGCTATTTTGAAATATTTATCTATGCGAGCATCGTATCTACGATCGGGCTATTGATATCTCTCGGTGAAACGGATACAGAAATGTGTCTGTACTAAAATCCACACTGGAAAAACAGGTCTTGAACTTAAATGCTATTTTCGTATTTATATATGTATAGTATAAATTGGTAAGTATGCTCACTATTTTTTTTTAATTCGATAATTGTTTAATATTCAAATAAATTGTTTCTACTCTTCGTACGTGGTGCGAAACTGCGAATTTGAAATAGAGAACTGCCTTGTTTTGCGTAAAATTTTACTGACACCCCCCCCTTATTTAGATTCTTCCCCTCCTACCTAGCCACGGCGGCTCAATATATTAAGAGCTTTTTTAGCTTTTAATTACATTAATCATCAACGTTATCACACAGTGATTTGTACTACCTCACTGCTTCGATATTAACTTGCGTATCTTGGCGATGAATCACGTACTTTCACTGCAAGTGTGCACTTGTTCCGGCTAGCGACGATTATGATAACGTTGTACCTACATCGGTACCGTATTTGTAAAAATGTAATATATGCGATTAGGTTGGGTCAGTATTACGTTTAAGTATTTTAAAAATATAGTTGTCAGTTACATTCAAAATAGGTGTTTGTATCTTTTGCGAAAATATTACCTATGGCATGGGGCTCCATCGAAGCGTTAGGTTTTTACAATTACACACTTAAGTTCTCCAACTACAGCCAAAAGTTTTTACAATTACACACTTAAGTTCTCCAACTACATGCCAAAATCGATATTATGACACCCGACAGGTGTCATAATATCGATTTTGGCATCTAGGACATTAAAATTTTTATTGCAATAGATAGAGTACACGTCGGTGCGCAAAGCGACCTTATTTCATTGAGAATCGTTCTGTTCGGCTCGCACTGCGCATGTTTACACTGCCACAACACGTCTGTTTATATACGTCTATAATATCTTATGTAATGTGAAACACACGGCTCAATAATTGATTTACAATCGACGCTCGTTTATATGTAGACAGATGTACGGATGATGCAATTTTAACATTGCGCTTAAGTTGATTCTTACGCTCAAATTCTTAGGTAACTAAATGTACCTACCTGCAAAGTTTTAAATGTGTTACACATGTAAGCAAATCATTTCTATTGAGGTTTGAACTCTGTTCAATTTAGGTTCAATTATGAAAGCTGAGGCTGTAATTTCCGTAATGGTTTGTTTGAATGAATTGGTGTTATTTTCCTTTGTTTATGTCCTAGTTACGTTAGCTAAGAAGATACAGAATGAATGAAAAGTGGAATATTTCCCACGCCACTTCCTTACTACCTTCTTCGATGCTGCTGCTTCGATGCTGATGATATTATAAAAATCATTAACGATAATGATTTATTGTAAAAATAATCGCGCGTCGTGGGCGCGTGAGACGAGCTCCCGCCACGCGTGTGTAGCGTGTTGCGCAACTGACTCGTCGCTAAACAAAGTCCATTGTCGTTTTACGATCAAAGTTGTTGTATCAAACTGTTTTTCTCAATATTTATTTTTATTTGTAACGAGTAGCGAAGCTCGTCAAATAATGCGAATGTCTGAAAATTGCGCACTAACTGCTTGGCCGTGCATTTAAGCAGTAATAAAGACAATGAAATATATATTTTGACGGGCACGTTGGTGCAATGGTAGCTAAAGGTGATGTTTCTAATCAATTTATATATTAAATAAATGAGGGTTGAAAAGTAGAAAAACGGTATTTTCTTACAATAACATTTTTGTTATCTTTTCTAGGTTCTATGTGCATGTTGATCCAATCGTACTTTTAATGTAATGTACTTGTAATGTAAGATGTTAGTGAAGACGCTCGACATTTTCCACGACGCCTTCTACTGAAGACTCGCGTCATCCTTGAAACTTTCAAAAACTGAACATAGTCCTATAAAATCTGAATAGAAAAGATTATTTAACGACATTTGTTTTTACAATTAAAACTTCATCAACTTATTTTCAAGTTCCTTTCTAATCTGTGAAGAATCGAGCTGATGACATTACCCACTGAGAGTTTAATATTGTCCCTGCACCGGTGTACAACATGACACAATACCTAACGACGAATTAAAAGGGATACTCGCTGTGTTTCATGTTTTTCGAATGCCGTAATAAAACAGTCGCATTATTAAATAATAAATGCATGTGACATTTGTTTTAGAAACGATACAGACCTAGGTAGGCATTAAAGATTATTTTATATTCGTTAACACGAATTAGACGTTTACTTTACGAGAAAATTATGTAGTAAAAGAAAAAAACTGAAACGATTATATAAAATAATTTCGTTGAGTTTGTAAAGTGATGTATCACGCGTTAACCCTCATAGAAACGTACTGCCCGTATGAACAATCAAAGTTACCTTTAGGGTTGTGTGAAGCTAGTGGCTGTAGGAAAATCACGTATAGCGATGAACGGACCTTAAAAACTTGACCAATATTTTGTTTACACTATAATAGAGAAGGTAGTATTGATTGTCAATTGTATTCATATGTTAGAACTTTTACTCATAATTTTGTAACATATTACAAAACTCTAATGTTGGTACTTATCTCCTTTCCATATAAATTTTTTAAATGAATAACACCCCTTTTGGAGATGTTTTTAGACCCGGCTTGATCATTCTAGACACCAGGAAATCTTTTAGCAAATTGCTTCAAATACTAGAAGCAAAAAAAGAAAATACTTGTTGCAAATGAAGTGAGAGATTTTGGAATTGCTCGTGGGTACAATATCAATTAGTTTCCGACACTCGCTTATAGGGCATTAAAACTAAGGTATCAAAAACTGATTAATAAAGGTTCAAATTTTCTCTAGTAAAACTTCAGTTTCAAGGCAAAATAAAATCGCACGAGTCAAAGACTGTTTTCGCGCGGGCTATAGCGTGCGGTCGCTACCGTCAGCCCCATGTTTGCTTCGAGGCGCCGACCGACTAGTCTCTGCAAATACATCGTCATTGTTTTGCTGTCGTAGGTGTAACACTGTGCCATATATATAATCTAGGCC